GTCCCTTTACCGCCGCAAATAATATTTTCAATTTTAAACTTGTAATACATTTATAAAAAAATATATTTGAACATACTTTATTATTAATTAAAACTAAATACAAATTTCCTAACACACTTAACTTAAAATTTGCGTCTTTTCAAAATCTCTGGCCTCCAATTAACGGGATGTGTTTCTTCTGTGGCTTCATCATCTTCCTTATAGATTTTAATGGTCTTATCGGCTTCAGCAGTAATAAGACGCGAACCCGATTGATCGAAACACATAGCAAATATGCCAGCCTCACTGTCCATAGAACCAGGCTGGACGGGAGCTTGGAAACGTTGGAAATTATAACCAGTACGCCAGTCCCAGAAGAACATGGTGCCATTGTCACCACCCGAAACTAAAACACCATCCTGATTTACCGCCATACAATTGACAATTGCGCTGTGGCCAGAAATGTTTTGCACAAAGTTACCCTCGGGACAGCGCCATTGTTTAATGTTGTCTGGGGAGGCGGAGGCGAACATGTAGAGTGTGGGATGTAAAACTATGCTACGTACAGATTTTTTGTGGTTGGTCAGAGTGCATACACTTTTGCCGGCTGCCAAATCCCATAAACGTACTGTGGAATCGTGGGAACCGGTAATGATTTGAGGATTGGCGGCTTGAGCCACCACACTAGCCACAGTATTTGTGTGCCCCGTTAAGGTGTGTATATTGGCCTTTGTGCGCATATCCCAAATGCGAGCTGTAGAATCACGTCCTGAAGTGGCTAGAACATCTATAGTGGGATGTAGCGCCAGGGAATAGACAGCTGATAAATGGCCATGATAGTGCCGAATTACTTTGTTGTATTCCAAATCCCAACATTTCACCTGACGATCTTCACCACAACTGAATAGATACGGATGTTTGGCACTGACGGCCAAACCACGCACAGTACTTACATGACCGGTGAGGGAAAGCTTCAATTTACCACTAGCCAAATCCCAAATTTTTATAACACGGTCTCCAGCACCAGTGGCGAACCATTCATTGCCCGGTTCTACAGCTATGCAACGCACCCAACCTAAATGGCCCGAAATAACACGTGATAACTTCCAAGGAGCATGCCAAGAAGGTTTGGGAATTGTGGGAGCTTTTTTCGGTATTAACTGAACATTGCTGCCACCCGTGGCCGAACGCATGCCAGGGGCAGAAACTAATGCATTGCTCATGGGTATATCACCGTTTTTGTTGTTGGCAGCAATTAAAGATAGATTGTCTTTGTTGAGACCCGCTCCTAAAGAACCGTCTGTAATGGCTAAAGGTTTCTCGGGGCCCTCCAAAGCAGCCATACCTGTACCAGCATTACCATTAGCATATTTCTTTGCCTCTGCAGCTTGGGCAGCACGATCGAATACCAAACCATAACTATCACGTGCCTTAATGGATTTTCTAATCTTTTCTCTAGCAAATACAATAAAAACTAATTGTAATTAATGATCCTTTAAGGAAAAGCATGGATACACTTACAATTTTTCATCAATTTCTGGTAAAGCTCCCTGATTTGAAACGAACATATCATGGGTTCTTTTCAAGGAACGAAATATTAATGTATGAACACTGTGTCGCTGAACTTCTTCCATGTCTGTTATAAGTTATTTTCTTTTAAAATTATTAATTTTTAACAAATTTTCCCAAAAAAATAAAAGCGGCTTTCATTGAGAGACCTGCGCCGACAAACATTAACAACGGCGGCAGCAGACACAAAAACTTCAGCGGCGGCTTCAACTCAGCTGTCAGCCTACAACAAAAAATTTTGGAACAAATATTTTAAAATCGGGATTTATCGGCGACTTGGCTTTGAGCCGAATCGGCACAGGTTTCTGCTTTCTTTGTATATTCACTAAGTAATGATAACAAGCAAACTTTTACACAGAGTTGCATTTTTGTATGTGATAGCATAAATTGACACATAGATGTCACTTTTAGTGTACTAAAAAATTTAATTTACTGAAGTAACCAACTTTATTTACATAACTCTTGTGCTCCATCGATGTTAATGAAAAATATTTGGAGTTTGTAGTTTTTGTTTTCTTTTTTTGTATATTTTTACTTTGTTTTGTTTTATTGTTGTTGTTCTTGGTGTTTTTTGTTTCTTGTTTTTTAAAACTTTTTTATTTTTTAAATTATTATGAATTAGCAGGCACTGGTGAACCGGCTGCCGCATTACTTGATGACAATGATGCAGATGTTGGTGATGAAGCTGACGAAGTACTACTACCCATAACAGCAACAACATTACTATCTTGCGATGATGCTCTGTTAATAATAAAATTTTCAATCTAAAAAAAAAACAGAAGAAAGAAATAAAATAAACAAAATAATAAAAATGAAAAAATATAATAGTAATGTAATGAATGGACAAAAGTATGTTAAATAAAATCAATTCTTATATTTATATAGAAAAATTCTTTATTTATAAATCATCATCACATCTAGTTTTTACCATTTTCTTAATATAGTTGCATAAACTTTTATTATTTGATGTTGAGACAACGTTTTCCGCCCTATATGGTGGTGTTATGGTGACTTCATTAAATATTTGTATATTTAAACCTTGCCAAGAGACTTCATTATGCTGGAATTCGAAAACAAAATATCAATAACTATTATTATAAACTTAAATTTAAATATTAAAGCACACATAAGGATTGAAAAGAATGATATTTAACCGTTAAAAAATTTTAATTTTGAACATATAAGGAGTTGTTGGACTCAAATAAATAAAAGCAATAATTTTATAATATTCGTACATTTTTTAGAAAATCTCAAGGAAAACTTTAATATTTAAACCTATATTCTCTGCCTTATGTGTACATAGTTTAACATTCAAAACAAACCTTAAATTGCTTAGCAATCACTCTGTATAATTCTTGTGCCTCTGGGCTAACATCAGCATTTTTCGACTTGAGATACGTTTGTCGATGTTGCACTGTTTTGCGTAGTCGTAATTTCAACTAAAAAAAAAAACAAAGAAAATACTATTATTAAGCACATATTTATAACTTAAAAAAATAATAATTTTAGTATATTATACTATTTTAGGTCACTTATATATTTGCTGTTGTTGTTTGTTTTACTTACTTGTTCCAAATTCAATTTCTGGGGATCATCAACATAGTTACCATTACACTCCTTGACCACTTGAACATTGCTGCATAGAGATAGATTCAAGACATGAACATCATTTAAATTTTCAGCATTCTTTGAACGACATTCTATTATAGTTAAATATTGAGGTTAAGGAAAGATACCAAGGTTTTAAAATGTTTGAAATACGGTTTTTTTAAATTAAAAATATAAAGAACTCAGTAGATATGTTTACTGAAATTAGGGGTATAAAATGTTGTCTAGTAAGTATGTTATGAAGTAAGTAAGTAAGTAAGTAAGTAAGTAAGTAAGTAAGTAAGTAAGTAAGTAAGTAAGTAAGTAAGTAAGTAAGTAAGTAAGTAAGTAAGTAAGTAAGTAAGTAAGTAAGTAAGTAAGTTAAGTAAGTAAGTAAGTAAGTAAGTAAGTAAGTAAGTAAGTAAGTAAGTAAGTAAGTAAGTAAGTAAGTAAGTAAGTAAGTAAGTAAGTAAGTAAGTAAGTAAGTAAGTAAGTAAGTAAGTAAGTAAGTAAGTAAGTAAGTAAGTAAGTAAGTAAGTAAGTAAGTAAGTAAGTAAGTAAGTAAGTAAGTAAGTAAGTAAGTAAGTAAGTAAGTAAGTAAGTAAGTAAGTAAGTAAGTAAGTAAGTAAGTAAGTAAGTAAGTAAGTAAGTAAGTAAGTAAGTAAGTAAGTAAGTAAGTAAGTAAGTAAGTAAGTAAGTAAGTAAGTAAGTAAGTAAGTAAGTAAGTAAGTAAGTAAGTAAGTAAGTAAGTAAGTAAGTAAGTAAGTAAGTAAGTAAGTAAGTAAGTAAGTAAGTAAGTAAGTAAGTAAGTAAGTAAGTAAGTAAGTAAGTAAGTAAGTAAGTAAGTAAGTAAGTAAGTAAGTAAGTAAGTAAGTAAGTAAGTGAGTGAGTGAGTAAGTAAGTAAGTAAGTAAGTAAGTAAGTAAGTAAGTAAGTAAGTAAGTAAGTAAGTGATCTTCAAATCTAAAGCTTAAAACAATATCTAATCTTTGGGTTAAGATACAAATCTCAAGTAAGTTTGAAGAGATAACAGAACTTTTTAAATAAAAAGAAAATCAGATGTAGAAATTCTAAGGCAAGATTCGGTTTTAGAGCTGCTATACCCTTCAAACAAAATTACCTTGGTCTATAGGGCAACTTTTATTTTGTTACTTTAGGTGATTTAGGTCAATCAATTTAAAGGATCTTCATAGAGCCTAATGTAAGCTGCTATAAAAGCTTCAATGTTGTCGAGAGTTCTATCGTACAGAAAACACTTCAGTTCATACTTTTGCTAAATTTTGGACAAGTATGACTGATGAAGATGCGTTCAGTCATTAGCAAAAAAAAAATATTTTGGTAGCACTTTTTCCTCATAATCCGGAAGTAACAATTCATAACTTAAAATCTTTTTGAATATAGACTAATTATAGAATGTTTAAAGAAGTTTTAAACTGACGAAAGTTTTTTTTCGAATACATACATAGTATTCATGTTGAAGATCATTTATAGTTTCAACTATTTAGTAATGTGAAATAGTCTATTATTTATTTTACATTTGATTGTGAGCATTGAAAGATCTTGTGATAATTTTATTTGGTCACATTGTATAACTCACAGATTGATCTGAATTTGTAGATTTATATAAAAACATCTATAAAAAAAAACTTAAAAGTGATAAGACCTAAATCTTAAATTTTGTCTTCAGGTACGAAATTTCGAAACAAAAGATAGAATTCTAGAAAATTTGTTTAGAATTGACATTTTACAATTGTCTTTGCAAAAAAAAAACAACAACAACAATAATAATAGAGACAAAAAAGAAATACAAATATAAAAATTGCAAAAAAAAAATAAATCAACTTTCTCTTGTTAAACTGCAGGGTTACCAAAAGCAGTATCTTTACATTATTACAGAGGAACCACCAACAGTTTTGGGGGCAATAACTGGCTATAATCCAAGATATTCCACAACTTCCAACCCATATGTTTGTTTACTCTATATAAATTAATATAGGTTTTTGTTTTTGTAAAAAGGATACTTAAAATAAGCATTTTTGTGTTGTGATCAAATGCTAGCACTTCTCCTTCAAATTCCTCATTGAAGCAGGTCGTGCACATTACTGTGGATCCAATACTGAAGCAATCATTAACTGCGGCCATTTTTAATTGTTGCCTGCCAATCTTCTATGGGGAGTAACAACAGCAACTACGACGACGACGGTGTTTTCAACAACAGCAGTGGTGGTGAGCAATGAATATCGTTGACAACAATGACAATGTTGTTGATGTTGGTAATGTTGATGTTGCTTGCTATTTGCTGGCGAATTGTTGAGAAGTTGTGTTGCCCAAAACTGGATTTATTTTGTAAAAAAACAGACACACACAGTTAATTGCTTTATGTTGCTTGTTTATATTTCTCTTTTTCCAAGCAGTTTATAACTTTTTATTGGCTTTTTTGCAATAATTTTAACCCGGAAGTTTTCAGCACAGATATTATTACAATGTTTTCAGCAAGCCAGCAGCAGTTTTAATTTGTAGGACACAATTTTCTTAACTGTTGTAAATTACTTTTCTTCAATTTTTTTTTTTTTTTTGCAACAAATTGTTATTTTTCCTTGTTATTACTGAATGAATGTGTAGAGCAGTGTGATGATGATAATTATTTGGCCCGCTCGCTAAAAAAGACTTTTCACTTTTTTCTGGCGTTTGTTTTGTTCTTACTAATTTGATTGCCTTTTTTGCCAGCCTTTTTTTCTTCTTGTTTTTTTCCTAAAATTTTTCACTCAACTTGAGAAAGTGTGTGTGGTATTTTTTTTTTTTTGCAATTTGTATTATTTATGCACTATAACTTTTTTAATACACGCTTTTTACACTAAACAAATTGTTTAAATGCAATATTTGTTTTGCAATAAATTTTCTTATGAAATTTTTATTGAAAAAATAATAATAAAAAACGGTGCCGACGACAAGTTGGAAAAAATTTATCAACGCACGAAACGTATGCAAAGAGAAAGAAGGCAATTATGTCCCACAAATTAAGAAGAGATGTGAAGAAAACCGATGAAGAATTTTGTCAAATTTCATTTTGTTTTGTCATTCGTCCACATACGCATGCGAGAGTGTGTGCTACGAATGTGTGTTGGTGTGTGAAAATGTGTGATGTAAGAATTGGGAAAATGTCAAAAAATGTGAACGGAGATGCCAACTGTATTGTTAGTAGCGGAGTGTTGCCAAAATATTAGTGTTTGTTAGTGGGTTTTAGTACAGTGTTACGATTATTATGAGAGTTTTTAAATATTTCTATATTTATAAGGAATTTTGACTTAAATTTTAAACAAATTTCACTATTTTCTTTAAATTCTTTGTTTATATAGAAAACTTTAGATAAATGCACTTTTATAGAGGATTTTTTATAACAGCTATTTTTTAAAGAACATTTTTGAAAAATTCTCTTTTAGAAATGTCTCAATAAATTCTCTTGACAATAAATTATTTTGTTTTTTTTTAATTTTCTTTTTTTTTTAAATTTTGTATTAATTTTCATATTTTTCTAGATTCTCTCTTGATTTTTTCCTTTATTTAATATTGTCTATAATTTTTTTTCGATTAAAATAAATGTTTTGAGAACTCTCTCATAAATTATATTTTTTTATAACATTTGTCCTCTTAAAGAAAATTTTAAACAAATAATTCTCTCCTAATAATGTTCAATAATTTCTCTCTTTATAAAAAACAATTCAAAACATTTTTTTAAATTATGAATGAATAATATTTTTCGATATTTTAAGAATATTTTCGATAACAAAATATTCCCTTATTTTTAAAAAAATACATTTTATTTTTTAAAATGTTTTCCTTAAATCCTTTTATTATAGAAAGTTATCGATAAGTTTGGTATTTTTATACATTTTTGATCATTTCTCTTTATAAGCTAAATTTTCAATAAATTTTTATTAAAGATTTTAATTTCTTTTTTTAACGATTGTTGATTAATTTCTATTTTTTAAAAAACATTTTCGATAACTTCTTTCTTTTCAGAAAAAGTTCGATATCTTCGGTTTTTGAGCGAAATTTGATATAACTTTTCTGTTCTTTTAAGAAATTTTCGATATTTTCTTTTTATTAAGAATTGTTCATCATTTCTCTTCTTTTAAACAAAATTTTCTACAAATTCTCTCTATTTTTCCACGTTATCGATAAAGTATTTTATTTTTAATGATAACGTTGATTAATTTTTCTTTTCTATAGTGTTTTCGATAAATTCTCTATTTTTAGGAATTGTTCGATATTTTAGTTTTTAAGCAAAAAAAATTTGGTGTAACTTTTCTGTTCTTTAAGATAATTTTCTTTTTATAAAACATTTTTCATAATTTTTCTCTTTTCAAACTAAATTTACTACAAATTCTCTCAAGTTATCGATAAATCCTTTTATTTTTAAGGATAATGTTAATTAACTTCTCTTTTTTATAGAATTTTTTCGATAAATTCTATATTTTTAAAAAATGTCCGATAACTTCGCTATTTTTTGTCCACATTTTGGTTAATTTCTCTATTCTTTTTAAAATTTCATCTTTTAATAAAACATTTTCGATAAATCTTCCCTTTTTACAAAAATTCTTTACCTGATGAAAAAATTATCCCTTAAGACTAACGATCTAGACTTTTTTAATAAAAACAATTGTTTCAAGGCTTTTTTTACTTTATTTTATTCATGGATCATATTAACTCACACAAAGAGTAGTGAAAAATTTTAGTATTAGAAGGGCGTTTTGTGAAAAGTGTATACAATTTAAATAAGTTAAGGAATTTATTAATAAATTACTATAAATATAAATATTATTCAAGTATAAATGGCCACAAGAGGAATAAGAAATAAAAATTTTTAATAAATATTCTACGTTTTCTTTTAGATTGAAACTTTTCTTACACACACACTAATTTTCATAATGGCATTAAAATTATTATTTTGGTTCTTATTAATGAATATGGGAAATTTTTCTTTTCTAAGAAATATTAATATTGTCCTAAATATAACTAATGTATTATATACGTGTTGTTGCTGTTGTATTATTTTTTAAATTTTAGTGAATACCATTAATTATTAATTAAAAATAGTATAACTTGAGCATCATAGGGAATTATTAAGCTGTTTGAATCTTCATCATTTGTTAGAGTCTATGAGTGGTGGGGATGCATTTTCTTTTCCATTTCAGCCTCGACACGTGCCTCATCAATCGTGGCCACTGTGGGTAGACCACCAGGCCAATGCAATAGTTCTGGTTCATGTTCCATTATCATATTGGCTTCAGCTAGAATTATAAATTAAAAATTAAAATATCCAACATAATTTGTGTGAAAAAAAACATATTTTTTTATATTAAAAAACATATAAAATAAACCCACTTTTTATTAAAATTTTATTTGTAAAAAAGTATATTTATTTGAAACAATTATTTCAATTGTTCACTTATGTTATTTAAAGCTGCACAATATTCTGTTTTTTTAAACAAAACTCAAATAATAAGTTTAAAGATCAGATTCATTTTGGGGGCGGTGGTACACCCAAAAATGGGCCTAGTAAACCCAAATCGGTTATAATTTTGGTAACAGTCAAATCTGAAAAATAATATGTTAATTAAAATAATGAAACAACATGTTTATTTATAAATATTAGTAAATTTAGAGTTAGGCAAATAAAATTTTGAAAAAAGTCTTTTACAATTTAAGATTTATTATATATACAAGTGGTTAGTAGAATATTCCATAAATATGATTGATTGAATTCGCATAAGACTAATTGTATTCTGAATTCTCCAATATATTTTGTTGAAGATGAAAAATATTCGCTACCTAGAGTCCTTGTAAGTAGCGAAGTCCATTTAGCAATGTCTATCAGTCCGTATGTTTGTTGAAATCAATATTTTAAGGTCTCACAATTATACAAATCGTGTATAATACCAGACATACTTTTGAGAAGTTTTCTATTTAAAATCACCAAAATCGGAACCAAAATAACGGTGCAATGAGGAAAATTCCAAAAGATAAAGATTTTTCCATGATATTTTTGCTTTAGACTAGATTATATACTAGAGTATAAACTAGATTATAGATTAGACTGTAGGCTAGATTATAGACTAGACTATAGATTAGACTATAGGCTAGACTATAGACTAGACTATAGACTAACTATAGACTAGACTATAGACTAGACTAAGACTAGACTATAGACTGACTATAGACTAGACTATAGACTAGACTATAACTAGACTATAGACTAGACTATAGACTCGACTATAGACTAGACTAATAGCTATAGACTAGACTATAGACTAGACTATAGACTAGACTATAGACTAGACTATAGACTAGACTATAGGACTAGACTATAGACTAGACTAATAGACTAGACTATAGACTAGACTAACTAGACTAGACTATAGACTAGCCTATAGACTAGACTATAGACTAGACTATAGACTAGACTATAGACTAGACTATAGACTAGACTATAGACTAGACTATAGACTAGACTATAGACTCGACTATAGACTAGACTATAGACTAGACTAAGGACTAGACTATAGACTAGACTATAGACTAGGACTATAGACTAGACTATAGACTAGACTATAGACTAGACTATAGACTAGACTATAGACTAGACTATAGACTAGACTTATCGACTAGACTATTAGACTAGGACTATAGACTAGACTATAGACTAGACTATAGACTAGACTATAGACTAGACTATAGACTAGACTATAGACTAGACTATAGCTGACTATAGACTAGACTATAGACTAGACTATAGACTAGACTATAGACTAGACTATAGACTAGACTATAGACTAGACTATAGACTAGACTATAGACTAGACTATAGACTAGACTATAGACTAGACTATAGACTAGACTATAGACTAGATTATAGACTAGACTATAGACTAGACTATAGACTAGACTATAGACTAGACTATAGACTAGATTATAGACTAGACTATAGACTAGACTATAGACTAGACTATAGACTAGACTATAGACTAGACTATAGACTAGACTATAGACTAGACTATAGACTAGACAATAGACTAGACTATAGACTAGACTATAGACTAGACTATAGACTAGACTATAGACTAGACTATAGACTACACCATAGACTACACCATAGACTAGACGACATTTAATAAAATTCTTTAATTTCTTTTAAGTAAAACCCTTTGGTTATGTTTTTAAATAACTAATCATCAAAAAGACTAATTTACTTATGAAGCCAGCAGTAAAAAATAGTCTTCGTAAAATATGTCTTTGACTTAACAGATTAATCGATAATGCAACATTCGCAGTCAATTTAAGATGCAACATATTTACATGACTTATGTTGGTATACATACTTACAAATATGCATTGTTATTTTTTACAACAAAGACAAATGCAGTTAGTTGTTAAGTAAGATTACAGAAATTTTATAAAATCTACCAAAAATACAACGACCTTCAACTTAAAATCATAGTAACTTTTTGGTGAACCATAAAAAAATCTATAAATTGTTACAGTGCCAAGAAAAAACAACAAAACAAATGCACTTTTCCCCCCCCTCCCTCTTACCTTTAATACGATGTATCTTACTGCCATAAGCTAAATCACCGTAATAGCCCATAACAAATGACAAAGGTACCATGGGCAGTAATGTAACCGGTCTTCGAGTGCGTTGATAAAATGAAAAACAACCCAGCAGGGAAGTTATATAGAAACCACTTAACCAATAGAAAAATTCTCTATTACGGGCGATTTCAGTGGCCTGTTCACGTTCCTTAATTTGATAGTGCATTTGTATCCAACGTTCCATCTAAAAAATGGACAAGGATACATAATTCATAATTTCACTTTAATAAAAGATTACATACCTTTAATTCTTGACATTTTCTATAGGCCGGATCGTCATGTTGGGGATAAGTTGAGATATTGCTTGAGGATTTATTACCCATTTTTTTATTTGATTGTTACTTAATAGTTACACAAAAATATTTTACAGATAAAAATAAATGAATTATTGCTGTTTTATTATTATTTAATAACGTTAAAAGTTATTTTTTTTTAATATAAATTGTTTTTATCTACACATTTGCCAAATTTTTTCATTTAGTTAGGTATTTTTGTTTAATATTTTGATAATTTTTGTTTGTATGTATTGAACGCTTTGTCAAATCAATCTGACAGACACATTTGCAAAATATTTGAAGACTGTTTGTTTTCGAGTTCTTAAATATCGTTAGCTGAAATGCAGAAGATTATAATTTGATAAACAAAAATATAACGTATGCATGTGCATACATACATGGATTTCAAAATAAATGTCTAGTTAGTTTTTACGGTACGTTCCGTGACGTATTAGCTTATTAACGGCAAATAACTTCAAGTCGATAACATAAGAGGGGAAATACAGGGAGACTGTCAAATTCAAGATATTATTTCCATAAAATTCTTTTTCTTTCTTCAAAAAATGGAATTTTCTATTTAAGTTAACGCAATGTTTGTATTTTGGCATAACTTTGTTTTCAATGCTGTTAATTTAGCGGTTTTTGGTCTAATTTAGCTTGTGAAAATTTTATTTTTTTCTTTTGGCGGAAGTTTAATAGAAACACTTTTTAGTCTTACCTTTACTAAACGGAAAAAGTTAATCCCGATATCGTGTCAAAATTTAAAACTGATTTATTTACGATTAAGATACTTTAGTCTCTGGGTTTCGACATTTTATCATTTTTTTGGCCTGTGTTATTCAAAAACATTTTTAATTAAAAATAAATAAAAAGATTGCTCCATATACAATGTTGGATATTTGCTACATTCATTCAAATGCCACAGATTATAGTTAGCAACACTGAAATTTTCACACCTGCGCAATTATAATTTTTACACTTAGAAAAATAACTTGAAAGTATAGGCACAATGTAAAGAAACAGGCTAACAACTAATTTTTATTCTAGAACCTAAAATATGTTTTTCTAAAGTATTGAGTTGGGCTGAATACGAAACAGGTTTCAGAATATTATAAGACGCGGCCAAAAAAAGTTTTTTTAAATCTTTATTACACGATAACTGTAGCATGATGTGATGGAAAAATGTGCTTTGGTATCTGGGTTTCTACTTTTTTTAAAAGTCGGGATTTTCACTCTTATGGAACTAGAGTTTGTTTCCACAAAATAATTTCTTATGAAAACTAAAGGCGTTAGGGTTGAAAAAATTAAAATTATCAGTCAAAGTACAGATATCCATCTGGAAACTATAGAAGTTGATAATTTATAAACGGGTTTTTGGTGTTAAAAATTTCAAATTTCTGTAGAAAAAAAAAAGTTAAACATTTCATTATGTATGAAGTTTTTAAATCGTTCAGTATGTACAAATTTAATCATATGTGTTTCAAAAACATATCAACAAGTGTCAAATAAAACTCAAAATTTAAAACTGCGCATGCTTCACAATACAACACTGTGTGTATAACAGTTTTTTATCCCTTTAAAAACTGTTATTATTAATAACTACAAATTTTCTATAAAATTAATTAAAAAGTAAAATTTTTAAATAAAATTGAGTTTAAATATCAATAAAATATAATACTTTATAATTGTAATAGCTTTATATATTTATAATAAATAAAAACTATTTAGTTTCACAAAGGGTTAATAAAATCCTTTGTAAGTCCTTTAAACTGTTATACCAGTTCTTCATAGTTATATTTCTAGAGATTTAAGTTACACACGAAATTATTTTTGCAAAAGATTTTTTATAGAAAAAGTGGGTAAATTTTTAAGATTTTAAAATAGTTTTTGCCAAAAACAGTAGAAATATTTCAATACTATTTGAAAAAGTTAAAATTTGTTTTATTTTATAACAAGTTTCATTGAAATAACATAAATTTTGAACTGGTTAAGTCAGTGGTAAAAAAAAATAAAAAGTTTTGTGTTTTGTTTCAAAATAATGCAAAAGTTTCATAAAATATTAAAATAATTGTTAAGTTATAACAATATTTAACTAAAATATTACTGTAAAATTTAAAAATATTAAAATTATTATAATTTTTATATAATTTTATCCATATTTATTCGAAAAGTGAAAAAATTTAGTGTGTATCTAGTAAAATTTTTTATAACTGTTATACACACCCCCAAATTGGGGGTTGAAAACCGCAACCCCCAATTTTTGGGGAAAGAAAACTGTTATAATTTAAACAGCTGTTAGAACAGCTGATAACAGATAAGCAACAGTTGGTTGAACAGCTGTTATGCCTAAGCAACAGGTGAACAGCTGTTCGTCCACTTGTTGGATTACAAAATTTATCGCAAAGTGTTATACAAACCGGTTTCACTAAATGTAAACAATATGAACTGTTATACAAACACGCAACAGTTGTTTGTAAACAAAAACAAACCGGCAATAATGTCAAGGTCAGGATTTTAGGAGAGCAATTTTAGAGTGACCAGTTTACATTCTTTATACAAATTTTATTTAACTGTAATTTCGTTTTAATTTTTTTAAGTCTTTAAAAAACAATGATTAACCGATTATTTTTATTTTCTTCTAGTATTTATTTCAGATTCTTTTTGAAAAAGATTGATCTGATTCGATTATGCTGTTCATAGTTTTGGATGTGTGAACAATTGCGTACTCGCCGCTTAGGAGCAGCTCGTAGTAAAACACTTTCCGCCACAAATCTAGCACCCATTGCTAGCAGTGCAAGTCACACATCCATTGCAGCCGCCATTAGTCACAGTGCTAGCAGTCATTTTCTACAACAACACTATCGCAATCAATCGCATTACTCGACACAGGCTCAACATTTCACCTTTAATCATACGGACAGCCCGAAGGCTGCGTTTTCAACACAAACCCATAGGGGATTTCAGCCGGGCTATGGCATTGAGGGCACCAGTACCATTAATAGTCCAACTGTTTTAAATTCGGGCAGTGGAAGTGGCAGTGGAAGTAGTGGCCTGCGTATGCCTAATATGGGACCCATGTTAGGAACATCGGCCACTGTAGCCATTAGTAGTAATTATAGTGCTCACAACACCTCTAATACAGGACAAAGTGGCACTGGTGCAGGCGGTGGCATGTCACACAATAATGGTTCCGGCGTAACAGCCGGTCAATTGGGCAGTGCTTCGGCAGCAGCCAATACAGCTGCATCAGGCGGTGGAGGTGGTTCTTCGGGAGTTGGTGGTGGTGGTATGGGTTTAAGTGGCGTCGGTATGGGCATTTGTGGCGGCATTAGTAGTGCAATGGGACCTAGTAGTGCTGCCATTACGGGCGTGCCGCCACTCGGACTTGGCATTGCAACCGGTATTGGTAATAAAATGCTTGGTCGCAAGCAGAGTCTTAAGGGCGGCGAGCCATTTCTAGCTGATTATGGTCCCGAGGAGTCGCTTAACGAAAGTGCCGATATTGAATGGGTGAACAAACTGTGGGTTAGGCGCCTAATGCGTTTTTGCGCTTTAGTAGCCTTGGCCTCAGTCTCATTGAATACTCCGAAAACTTTCGAATTATATCCACCCACACAGTATATAACATTTGTATCAGATATTGCGGTAACGTTACTCTTTACCGCTGAAATGATTGCCAAAATGCACATACGCGGCGTTTATCATGTGAGTAATAGTAGTAGATTGGGATAGTAGCAGTGAGAGCTTATGCATTTACAGAAATAGTTATATGATTTAAATTTTTGAGTGAAAAATGCGTATATAGCTATTTCTGTTTATCATGAGTCGAGAATTTTCGAATCAACTGCCAATTTTTTGCAGATCACAAACACTTATATAACACTCAAGTAAATTGTTTAACAATGAAAGAATGCAGCCATTTGAATTGAAACAGTGTAATGGAAACTTTTTATTTAGATCTAGATGTACTTACTTACTTACATAGTTACTTACTTAATTACTTACAAATTAATCTTGACTGTTTCCACCACACTGTATCACATTGATTTTATAAAATTTGTTGCACTCTATTCTCATGAATGCATTCTTTTAAAATAGTTTTTGATTAAATATTACACATTCCACAGAACAAATTAAAAATTCCGCACTTAAGTAGATTTAAAGGTTTTAATCTGAATTTAGTGGATTGCCTTTTCCACAACCCAAAATTTGCAAATAAATTTGGTCTTTTAAAAAAAATTCTGAATAAAACCGTTAAATTCGTCAAGTACAGGAACATAACTTTGAAAACATTTAATTATTATTATTAAATTTTATGAAAACCATTAGGGTGAAGTACCATATTTAAAGGATCATTGGTGCCAATTTGATTTTTCAATGGTATTCTTTTTATGGATTTCCATAATATTACAAATATTTGAAATACTTGAAATAGTGCCAAAGTAAGTAAACTAAATAAAATATCATAAAATGTTACAAAGAAAACCCATTAAATGCATTTTATTACAGATTTTCACCCTTATCCATAATGCGCGCCCCAAGACCTTTGATTATGATACGTTTCTTAAGAGTCTTCCTGAAATTTTCGATGCCAAAAAAACGCATAAATCAAATCTTTAAGTAAGACTTAAACTGTTAAGAATTAAATTAGTTTTCCCATTGAACTTATTTTTTAAACTTTTTCATAATTACAGGCGTTCGAGCCAACAGATTTATAATGTAACTTTGTTCTTCCTATTTTTTATGTCCTTATATGGTCTGATGGGAGTACAATTTTTTGGAGAATTGAAAAATCATTGTGTTATGAATAATAGCGAATATGATGAACATGATAGGCCGTATGTTTATTATCGTTGTTTTGAACCCGTGTCTTATTCCGATTAATTGGGTTTTTTAATTGTTCTCTTTGAGAAATTAATACATTTTCTTTTATTTTTGTTAAATTTATTATTTATTTTGAAAATATTTTGTCTAATAAACAAGGTGCTAAATTTAAGATTCATTTGATCAAAAAGATCAAACAAAATATTTTCAAAATCTTTTAGTTTTTCAAATTCGTATTGTAGTACGTTAATTTTAAGGGGTTTTAAGGTCTACATAGAGTCCAGAATATAGGCGAGACTATAGTACATACTATGAACGAGACTATATTCCAGACATTAGATGAGACTTAAGTCCAGACAACAGAAGACTAAAGTCCAAATTGTTGACGGGACTACAGACTAGGTAAAAATCCAGATAATAGAACAAACTATAGTCTAGAGATTAGACTGTTGTCCAGACTATAGACTAAAGTAGTCTATAGACTAACCAATAGATTAGTCTGTAGACTAAACAATAGACTAGACAAAAGACTAAACACCAGACTATATACTAGGCTATAGAATTAAATATAAACTAGACTAGACTAAACTATAGATTCGACTATAGATCAGACTTTGGTCTACAATATAGACAAGACTATAGTCTAGAGTATAGACAATATGTACTATAGACTAGAATGGTCTATATATTAGACTATAGACAAGAATTTAATCCAGACTATAGACAAGACTGTAGCCAAGACCATATTCCTGACTAGACAATACTTTAATCCGGACTATAGTCGAGACTACTGGGAAGACTATAGGCAAGATTTTTAGACCGTATTACAGGCAAGTCTATAGTCCAGACTATAGACAAGACTATATATAGTCTAGACTATAGACATGACTATATTCGAGACTATAGACAAGACTATATTCGAGACTATAGACAAGACTATAGTCGAGACTATAGACAAGACTATAGTCGAGACTATAGACTAGGCTATAGTCGAGACTATAGACAAGGCTATAGTCGAGACTATAGACAAGGCTATAGTCGAGGCAATAGACAAGACTCTAGTCGAGACTATAGATATGAAAACCCCTCTAAATTAATGTACTGCTAAATTCCGGACTCGAAGTTAGTTTTCAATTATAATTCTTCTATATCAATGCAAAACTATAGATTTATAATTGATAACAAACTAAAATTATTTATTTAGGATTTTAACGTTAAATTCTTTGGCCATACCTGATACGTTTTGTTCAATGGATCCAGATTCTGGTTATCAATGTTCACCTGGCATGAAATGCATGAAATTGGATTTTTTGAGCAGTTATGTTATCGGTTTTAATGGTTTCGAAGATATAGCCACCAGTATATTTACGGTATATCAGGCTGCTTCACAAGAAGGTTGGGTTTTTATAATGTATCGTGCCATAGATTCATTACCCGCCTGGAGAGCGGCATTTTATTTTAGGTAATTGTTTTTGGATATGAGTGTTATAAGTAAAGAAATGGGTATTAACTTTGTAAGTCTTAATGTAAAATTTCTAGTACCATGATATTCTTTTTGGCTTGGCTGGTAAAGAATGTTTTCATTGCTGTCATTACGGAAACTTTCAATGAGATACGTGTGCAGTTTCAACAAATGTGGGGTGCTCGTGGTCATATAACCAAAACCGCTGCCTCACAAATATTGAGTGGTAATGATCAAGGTTGGCGTTTGGTTACCATAGATGATAGTAAGCATGGCGGTTTGGCGCCGGAGACTTGTCATGCCATTTTACGTTCACCCTATTTTCGTATGCTGGTCATGTCGATAATTTTGGCGAATGGCATTGTAACGGCCACCATGACCTTTAAACATGATGGCAGACCACGTCATGTATTTTATGAGAATTATTACTATATAGAGGCGATATTTACATTACTCTTGGATTTGGAAACATTATTTAAGATCTACTGTTTGGGTTGGAGGGGCTATTACAAACACTCTATACATAAATTTGAATTACTGTTGGCTGTTGGAACTACCCTGCATATTGTACCAAATTTTTATCTATCACCATTTACATATTTTCAGGTGAGTCTCCACTGCTAACCTACAAACATTTGTCGTCTGTTATTAAATTAGTAACTCTTTTTATAAGGTTCTTCGTGTGGTCCGCCTGATTAAAGCCTCACCCATGCTAGAGGGTTTTGTTTATAAAATCTTTGGTCCTGGTAAAAAACTTGGTTCTCTCATAACATTCACCGTTTGTTTGCTCATTATTAGCTCGGGCATTTCTATGCAATTGTTTTGCTTTCTTTGTGATTTTACCAAATTCGAAACTTTTCCCGAAGCCTTTATGTCTATGTTTCAAATTCTTACCCAAGAAGCTTGGGTTGAGGTTATGGATGAAACCATGATACGCACCAGTAAAACTCTAACTCCTCTGGTTGCGATTTATTTTATACTTTATCACTTGTTTGTCACACTCATTGTGTTAAGTTTGTTCGTGGCGGTTATTTTGGATAATTTGGAATTGGATGAAGATATCAAGAAATTGAAACAGCTTAAGTTTCGTGAACAAAGTGCTGAGATTAAGGAGACTTTACCGTTTCGTTTGAGAATATTTGAGAAATTTCCTCAGTCTCCACAAATGACTATATTGCATCGTATACCGAATGACTTTACTCTGCCCAAGGTGAGAGAGTCTTTTATGAAACAATTTGTTATTGAGTTAGAATCCGATGATCCTTCGATGGAGAGTTGTAAACGTCCTATGTCAGAGTACTGGGAATCGAATGTTGTTTTTCGTAAGCAGAAACCCGTTAGGATAATGAATAAAACTGCTAAAGTTCGTTCCGCGGGCAGTAGTTTAAGGAAACTGGCTATTACTCATATAATAAAGTGAGTAGACGTTTTGAGAATTGATGGATTTTATTATTAAGATCGGAGATTTTATTTTTCTTTATCTATTTTAAGTGATTCCAATAATCAACGTCTAATGCTGGGAGATTCAGCCATGTTGCCGGTTGTGGGTGGAAAGAGTGGTCTTAAATCTCAAGGTACTATTACTCATTCCAAACCTTGGAGAGTAGATCAAAAGAAGTAAGTGATATTCGTTTATATTGAAAAGATATGTTTCTACAGCCTTAAGATTAATCCAGACTACAGACTAGTCTTTATAAACTATAATCCAGACTAGACTTCCGTCTCTAGTTAGCTTTGAATAACTAATTTTCGAAAATTAACTATCTTTTTCTTTCCCAGATTTGGTTCTCGTTCCATACGACGCAGTGTACGTTCTGGTTCCATCAAACTAAAGCAAACCTATGAACATCTTATGGAAAATGGTGATATAGCATCAGCACCGCGTGCCAATTCGGGAAGAGCTAGACCACATGATTTAGACATAAAACTATTACAAGCTAAAAGACAACAAGCCGAAATGAGGCGTAATCAAAGAGAGGAAGATTTGCGCGAGAATCATCCCTTCTTCGATACACCGCTATTTTTGGTACCACGAGAAAGTCGTTTTCGTAAAATCTGTCAAAAAATTGTACACGGACGTTATGATGCTAGACTAAAGGATCCTTTGACGGGTAAAGAGCGTAAAGTTCAATATAAAAGTATGCAGTAAGTACAATATTATCATTAATCATTTAAGGGGAATGAATTTAAAATCATATAATTTTAGCAATTTCTTGGGTTTGGTCACCTATTTGGATTGGGTCATGATATTCGTTACTACCCTTTCCTGCATCTCTATGATGTTTGAAACACCCAATGATCGTGTTATGGATCATCCCACATTACAAATAGCCGAATATGCTTTTGTCATCTTTATGAGTTTGGAATTGGCTTTGAAAATCTTAGCAGATGGTTTATTCTTTACCCCCAAGGCTTATATTAAAGATGTGGCCGCTGTACTGGATGTTTTCATTTACGTGGTGTCTACCTCTTTTCTTTGCTGGATGCCTAAACATATACCCACCAATTCGGGTGCTCAACTTCTGATGGTTCTAAGATGTATCAGACCTTTACGTATATTTACCTTAGTTCCTCATATGCGTAAAGTGGTTTATGAATTGTGTCGAGGTTTCAAAGAAATCCTATTAGTATCGACATTATTGATTCTGTTAATGTTTATATTCGCCAGTTATGGTGTTCAACTATATGGAGGACGATTGGCCCGTTGCAATGATCCGACAATATTAAAACGTGAAGATTGTGTGGGTGTTTTTATGCGGCGTGTATTTGTAACTAAAATGAAATTAATACCTGATTCTGATGAGTCATATCCAGCCATGTTGGTGCCTAGAGTATGGGCCAATCCAAGAAGATTTAATTTTGATAATATTGGCGATGCTATGTTGACTTTGTTTGAGGTTTTATCTTTTAAGGGTTGGTTGGATGTGAGAGATGTTTTAATTAAGGCGGTGGGACCGGTGAGTAATAGTTAGGGCTAAGTTATATAGACTATAGACTGAACTATTTATTGGATGAGCTATAATCTGGACTATATATAGAACTACAGCCTGGACTATAGACTGATCTAATGTCTGGATTATAGACTGAACTATAGTCTGAAATATAGACTAAATTATAGTCTGGACTATAGACTAAACTAGAGTCCAGACTATAGACATAACTATAGTCTAGACTATAGACATAACTATAGTCTAGACTATAACATAACTATAGTCTAGACTATAGATATAACTGTAGTCTGGAGTATAGACTAAACTCTGGTCTATATACTGAACTATTTATTGACTGAGCTGTAATTTGGACTATATATAGAACTACAGTCTAGAATATAGACTGATCTAAAGTCTGGATTATAGACTGATCTAAAGTCTGAACTATAGTCTGAACTACAGACTGAACTATAGTCTGAACTACAGACTAAGTTATAGTCTGGACTATAGACTAAACTATAGTCTAGGCTATAGACATAACTGTAGTCTGGACTATAGACTAAATTATAGTCTGGACTATAGACTAAACTCAATCTTTTCAAATTTCATTTCAGATTCATGCAATTTACATACACATATACATTTTCTTGGGTTGTATGATTGGTCTTACACTATTTGTGGGTGTAGTCATTGCCAATTACTCAGAGAATAAGGGTACTGCACTTTTAACTGTGGATCAGAGAAGATGGTGTGATTTAAAGAAACGTTTGAAAATTGCTCAACCTTTACATTTGCCACCTAGGCCGGATGGTCGTAAAGTTCGGGCATTTGCCTATGATGTTACACAGCATATATATTTTAAACGTTTTATAGCAGCCATAGTTTTAATTAACAGTGGTTTATTATCCATAACGGTAAAACTTAAAACATTTTATAAAACTAATAACTAATTAATAACTTTCTTTAATTCTACAGTGGATTAAAGGTGAAAGTATCACCGAAATTTGTGTCTTATTAAGTGCCATATTGACTTTTGTCTTTGTGGTGGAGGTGGTTATGAAAATTATAGCTTTTACTCCGCGTGGCTATTGGCAGTCGAGACGTAATCGTTATGATTTATTGGTTACCGTATCGGGAGTTGTTTGGATATTTTTACAAACTATTTTAAGGGTAAATTAATTAATTTTAATTTGAAAATTAGATATTTTAATAAATTCTTTTATGCCTTGTCTTACAGAATGATTTATCCTATTTCTTTGGTTTTATGGTGGTGATATTAAGATTTTTCACCATAACCGGTAAACATACCACTTTAAAAATGTTAATGTTAACTGTGGGTGTATCGGTTTGTAAATCATTCTTTATTATATTTGGCATGTTTTTATTGGTATTTTTCTATGCCTTGGCGGGCACTATACTATTTGGTAAGTTGTGGTGGTGCGTGAAGTATTTCAAAGGGTTTCAAAATTAAATTTTTTTCTTAAAGGTACTGTCAAGTATGGTGAAGGTATTGGTCGTCGTGCTAATTTTGGTTCTCCTGTTACTGGAGTTGCTATGCTTTTCCGTATTGTTACTGGTGAAGATTGGAATAAAATTATGCATGACTGTATGGTTCAGCCACCATATTGTACACCGGGAAATAATTATTGGGAAACGGATTGCGGTGAGTTTGATGATTTTGTTTAAATGACTAGTCTACAGTCTGAACTATATTCTCATTTAGAGTATGAATAATAGTCTATATTATAGTCTAAACTATAGACCAATGGATTATATATATATATATGTACTGAACTACTATATTCAGAACTATAATTTGGAATATAGGATAAAGTAGATTCTAGAAAAATGGACTATAATGCCTGGACTGTGGACTAAACTATGGTTTGAACTGTAGGCTAATGAATAGTCTTGAGTAAAGACTGGTTTGATCCATAATCAGGGCTATAGACTAAACAATTGTTTGGAATATTGACTTCGCTAGGTAGAACCATAAATTATACAATAGTCTAGAGTACTGGACTGAACTTTAGTCTGAAATATAGACTGAACTGTAGTCTGAACTATAAACAGATTACTATAGTCTTAACTACTGACTAAATTGTAGTCCGGACTCTAGACTAGTCTACAGTTAGGTCTACATATTCATTTATAGTGTGGATAATAGACTAATCTATTGGCGGGTAATAACCTAATCAAAAGTCTAGACTATAGACCAGTGAATAGACTGGACTATAGACTATAGCTTGTGAAGTAAAGGAACCTTTTTTCTTTTGATTTCGATTTACCGGAGAAGTTGATTCTCCTAATTTAATAATGTTTTTCACATAAATTATAAATTTAGTACTTTAATCTATCGTTTCTTAACTTATTTCACTTACCCAAAATACTAGCTCCAACTTTAGATCATTTTCCAGTCGTAGTTAAATACTGCAATGAAAGAAATTCAATATAAATTTTTAACAAATAATTTTTCTTAATTATATATTACAGGAAATTTTACTGCTAGTCTTATATATTTCTGCACATTCTATGTTATTATTACTTATATAGTGCTAAATTTACTAGTGGGTTAGTATTCTCCTAAAACATATATTACAACAACAAAAAAAAAAAACAAGAATCGAAATAATATTTATTCCATACCGCAGCTATTATCATGGAGAACTTTTCATTATTTTACTCGAATGAAGAAGATGCCTTATTATCCTATGCGGATATACGTAATTTTCAAAATACCTGGAATATTGTTGACATACACCAGCGTGGTGTCATACCAGTGAGAAGAGTTAAATTTATATTACGTTTACTAAAGGGACGTTTGGAATGTGATCCCCAAAAAGATCGTTTGTTATTCAAATACATGTGCTATGAATTAGATAAATTGCACAATGGGGAAGATGTTACATTTCATGATGTTATAAAGTATGTTTAATATAAATTATAATTTGAGAATATTAAAAGAAATTTATTATGATTTTCAGTATGTTATCCTATCGTTCGGTGGACATACGCAAAGCCTTGCAGCTGGAGGAGTTATTAGCGCGTGAAGAATTTGAATATTTGGTAGAAGAAGAAGTGGCCAAAATGACCATTAGAAATTGGTTGGAGGCATGCTTAAAGAAAATAAGGTCACAAAATGCCTACGTAAGTATATATGCTAAACATTATTGATATCTTACTCTAATCTGTCGCAAGTTTTAAAACTGTCAACTGAAATTTATTATATTGAAAGATTTACTTGATAAACTACTTACATATTCTCCTTCTTTTTAGAAACAACAAAACTCCTTGATTGCTGGTTTGAGAGCGACTAATGAACAGCCTATTATAAGACCAAGTGCCCAGGAAGACAAAACGCCTACAGGAACGGGAGATAAATCTGCTATAGCTACTATAAGTGGTGCTGTAGCTGCCACCTGTCCTCCCACAAGTGATGCATTTTCACCCACTTTTAGTTCCACAGAAAATGAGGGAAATGATGTAAGCACTAGTGCAGTAGCATCTACACCAGCTCCGACTGAAACCTCAACAACACATGCTACTCAGCGCGTAATAACGGCTACAAAACGTGGCTATACCCTTAATCGTTCCGATTCAACGGGTAGTTCAGCAGGACGTAAGTTCTTAGCGCCAACATCGTCAGATCCTCAACAGCGCACAACGTTAAGTGATAAGGAACGTTTGTATATAGCCAATCAGCAAAAGAAGAAAAATTCCATGACTACCACCACTTTACCGGTGACAATAGCACCTGCTATACCGGGAGCTGGTCACAAAAAGAATAGTTTCTTTGCCGGTGATATGTCACAATTTCATTATCCCGCCATTAATCATTTTGAGCATGGTAATATACCACAAGGTGGTTTGGGTAGTCCTTCCGGTTTATTGCCTCATATTATACCGGGCACTAAGTTATTGCCTTTTAATAATCAAGCCAATGCTGTCTATGAAGTTCACGATTGGTGGCAGGAACAAGTACTCTGCACTCAAATGAGTGATGATGAAATGTAGTAAATATTGAAGAAGATTTTTTTATAATGTAATAGTAGATAAGTATTTTAGAGAATGAATAGAATTACCATGTGCTAAATTAACTAGTTGCCAATGTCACGATTGTTATATTTAAAAATAAAATAATATTAGTTTGTATTAGTCTATTGTAAAATAAAATATAATAATTTGTTGTTAATAAAACTATTGTAGTAATTTCCTTATATGTATAGCGTCACAAATTAAATCTTAAGCGGTTTGAATTATTAAAGAAAAAGTCCAAAAGTCAGAAGAAACTATATATAAATACTTTCAAAAATGAAGCTGTAATAATCAGATTTACATATAGTAATTCAAATATTTGCATTATTTTTTCTTTCTATTTCGATTTACCGGAGAAATTGTATCTCCTAATTTCAAACAGCTTCTTCACTTCAATTATACATAAATACACAAAAAAAAACATTTATTAAATTAGTACGACGAATAGCTAAATTTAAATAAAAAATTATAGTTACTAAACTACTACTACTAAACAAATTAAAATCGCTTTGTTTTGAAGTCAGTTTTGTTGAATATTTTCTTTATCTTCCAACTCTTCCACATTACCATCCTCAATATGCTTTACTTCTAACACTTCATTCTGAATATTTTTTTCTCTTATTTCTGCATTTTCCTTTACAGCAGCTGTATTTTCAATTAAATTTTCCACCGAATTATGTTTATCCTCCACCTCTACTACTTCGTCATCATCAATATTCTCTACAGAGTTGTTTTTTTCTTCTAGTTCCTCCCTTAAATCTTCTAATTCTTCTTGATGTCGCCGTTTGAGGAATTCGATTCTTGATTCATAAATACGTTTTTGATTTTCGATTTCACGCTGCATACGCAACTCGAATTGTTTTTTATGTTCCTCCAAGGTAGTTTTAAATGAATCAACCAATTGATTGCGCAGTTCTTGCTCTTGTTTCAACAATTCTTCTGCATGTTCATGGGTTAAACGCTCGATTTCATTTTTTAAATGATAAGATTCATCGATGATTGCTTCAATATGTTGATCCTGCTGATCTATATGTTGGTTTTGTTGCTCTATATGGCTATTGAGTTTTTCAATATCGGCTTTCAGGTTAGCATTCTCTTCCAAAAGTTGCTGTATGTAACCATTGTCGGGGGTGGCACTAAATACAGAGTAACGTGATTGATTCGGTTTAATAGCCGGAGCTTTGAATATTATATTACTGGCTATGGAAGCAAAATTGAGCACATTCAAATTCTCTTCGTAGTATTTCTCTACGGGTGTGACATTAACAATCATGGCCAATTTTTCCTTACCCTGAAGGGCCGCCTGCAATATCATGGTCAATTTAGATTCTCTAAATGGTATGCGTTCTTTTTTATTTAATGTTGAGGTGGTGCTACCAGCAGAGGCCAAATTATTGGCAGCATCTAAGCAGCGTCCTAGTACCATTAGGGAGGTATTAATACGTTGTGCCTCCTTGAGACGTGAACCCATATTACCAGTCTTATCCAAACGTTCTGAACCAGCTAAATCGCAAAATTTGTAAGATGTTTCGGTGTACACACCAGTGCGATAGTATTTTAAAACATCCACGAAAAATACACAATGTGAACGACTGGAGTTGGCATTAATGGAGGTAGAGGCATAGGTTAACTTTTGCAGACCAGAGCGTAAAAGTTTCAAGGCCTCCACACTGCTTTTTATATAAATGGAGGTGACACCTTTGATGAAAACATTGCCGTCATTGCAAACAATTTTTAAATTTTTACGTGTTGTATTGGCAGTGTTTGCAAAAGAACCTGTAGACTTAATGGGGGCCAATAAATCATACACCAATTCATTGTAGATCTCCACAAATGTTACCCATATAAACACAGAGACATCATCCAAAGGCACTGTCTCGAAATGATGATCATTTCGTATGGAATGCTGTAGTTGTAGATAATTTGTTTCCAGATTTTTACAATTGTCAAGTATTTGACGGCGCAACAGGTTTTCCTTCTCCACGAGATGATCATCAAGAAAAGTAGTGCGTGAATTTACCAATTTAGCTAAAGGATTTGGATGTATATTGGCTTGGTAGAGAGTGAAAATATTTTCCAATGATCTGGGTATAATGCCCGGTTTCATATCATCACCTAGCAGGGTAAATGTTTTACCCGAACCCGAAGTACCATAGGTTAAGACGGTGAAACTTTCCTCGGCCAATATTTTTTCCCCTATGCATTTTTCATACACCTCCCTTTGACTTACCTCCGAATCGAAAATTTCCGAAAAACTGTAATGCTTCTCCATGGAATTCTTATTCTTGCTGGTGCTAGACGACTCGGTGGGAGGACCGGTTATTAGGACTTTACCTTCTACTGATATGGAGTAGGCTGAAGAAGGCATTTCCACAGGTTTCAATCTTAAATACACCAAAGCTCCAGTTTCTACCGCTGCACTGGAATCTGTACTTTCTATCAAAGCTTCACCGGTGCTACGAGTATCATAGTATTCATCTTCCACGCTGTCACTATCGCTGCCCTCATCGTAATCATCTTCCTCTTCTATTTCATTGAAAAGTCTCTCACGTTTTTGTGGACAGGGACGAAATCTACGATCAATACTGGGGTCCCGTGGCATTAGGAAAGATCGTGCTTCACGTTTTAAAGCCATTTATATATAAATTTCGTTTTAAACTTTGTATTTTTATAGAAAAATCACTGGAGAATCCTTTTTTTATTTTCTTGGTGTTTTTTTTTTCAGTTTGATAAAATTTCAAAAACAACTATGGCGCTTTATTTTGTTGTTGTTGCTAAAATTTGACATGAATACTCGAGTACTCGCAAAGATAAAGTTGCCAGATTCGTGTTTTAAAAAAAACGCCATTGTTTGATATTTAAACAGGCAGTTACACGGAATTTTTTTTATTTCATCTAGTGTAAATAGGGGAGTCGATCTATCGGAAAATAAAATCCGATTAAACTGACCCACATTAAATGGAAACAGTTATTTTTCTTAACACAAACGTGGAAATCTTAAGTCAAATAGAACAATCTACATTTATCTTGCCACATTGCTTAACAGACAAACTGTCATAGTTACCAAAACAGAGTTTTTTGTTTTCAAAAATGTTTTGGCATCACTGCAAACAGCTGTTTTGTATCGTTTGTTTTGTGTTTTAGTTTAACCGGGCGGTTTATTGTAAACGTTTTTTACGGAATATTTTTGTTAAATTATTTTCTTTTGTACTTTAATTTTATCCAAATGATGGATGAGGATGATGACTCTGGTGTACATCGCCTTGAGGGTACAAGTGCCACGGAAATGCGCGGTGGTTTGGTTATAAAAAAGACCAAAACTGATGACAACAAATTTAAAGTGCCCAAACCATCGATCTTGGGCTTAGACAAATTAGCTGCCCAGAAGCGCAAAGAACGTGAAGAAAGTCAGCGATTAATATCTTTTAAGGATAATGAAAACGATGATGAGGATAAAGATGTGCGAACCGTTTCAACTCCCTCATTGCCAAGTGAATTTGCTTTTAAAAAGCCAGACACGCAAAGTTTTCAAAAAATGGGCCGTCAGTTGAGAGCTCCCAAGGATGAGACACCCACACATACGGGTGGTGTTTCTGAAGAGGCTCGTGAACGTTTGAGAGAGCACATCAAACGGGATCGCTCTAAAGGTGGGGTGCACTATTCCTCTAAAGACTATGATAGAGAACGTGATCGTGAACGCGATAGGGACAGAGACAGAGAGCGCAGCAGATCGTCTTCATCATCTTCTTCGTCGAAGGATAGGCGTGATAGAGACCGTGACCGGGATAGAGATAGAGGACGTGATAAACGGCGTGATCATAGAGAACGTGACCGCGATATTCGTAGTGAGCGCAGAGACCGCAGTGAACGTGACCGGGATCGTGACTCTGAGAGAAGCGTTAATACGCCACGCTTTAGAGATGAACCACGAACTCCCAATACAATTTCTGTGTCGGGTAGCGCCTGGGAAGAGGACGATGAGCCAGGTGAGCGTTCTTCGCGTAAATCTTCCTGGGATTTTCCCACGCCCAAATCGTATGCTAGTTCAGAAAGAGGCGATTGGTCTCAACGCAGTGGCAGCAGTGGTTTTAGTTCTAGCCGCAGCCGTTCTCGGCGCGATCATAATAATCGAGAGGATGACACTGCCAGACCGACACCAGCTCATAAGTATAATGCTTGGGCAAATGATCGCAAACGTTCAGGAGCCACACCCTCAACAAGCCGCAGCCAACGTCAGCCCTGGGGTGAGAGTGAAGAAGATCGCGATTTGTGGGAAGAAGAACAACGCCGATTGGATCGTGAGTGGTATAACATTGACGAGGGCTACGATGATGAAAACAATCCCTTTGCCGGAGCCAATGCTGACTACTTTCGCAAACGTGAGGAAATGCTGGAACAAAAACGTACTAAACGCATTAGTGCCCAACAAAGACAAAACAATAAAGACAATGAGCTATGGGAACGTAATCGTATGTTAACCTCAGGCGTTGTCATGTCCATAAATGTGAATGACGACTTTGATGAGGAGGCTCTTGAGCGTGTGCATTTATTGGTACATCACATCATTCCACCTTTTCTCGATGGTCGTATTGTGTTCACCAAACAACCGGAACCGGTTATACCCGTCAAAGATCCTACTTCGGATATGGCGCTGATAGCGCGTAAAGGTAGTACTCTTGTTAGGGTTTATCGTGAGCAAAAAGAACGTCGTAAGGCTCAAAAGAAACACTGGGAATTGGGTGGCACTAAACTTGGCAACATTATGGGCATTGAGAAGAAAGCCGACGAGGAAGATGCTAAATTCGATAAAGATTCTGATACGGCTGACTATCGTAAAGATCAAAAATTTGCCGATCACATGCGTGATCAGGAAGGTGGTTCTAGTGATTTTGCCCGTAAGAAATCGATAACAGAACAAAGACGTTTTCTGCCCGTCTTTGCGGCTCGTCAGGAGCTTTTGAATGTTATAAGAGAAAACTCGGTCATTATTATAGTGGGTGAAACGGGCAGCGGTAAGACCACCCAATTGACTCAATATCTACATGAGGATGGCTATAGCAACTTCGGCATGATTGGCTGTACTCAGCCAAGAAGAGTGGCTGCCATGTCGGTGGCTAAACGTGTGTCAGATGAAATGCATACCAAGTTAGGTGAGTTTGTTATGAGTTATTACTTATTTGTTTCATGTACTAATTCTATTTTCTTTTGGTTTTAGGTGAAGAAGTTGGCTATGCTATACGTTTTGAAGATTGTACTTCAGAAAAGACTGTCATTAAGTATATGACTGATGGTATTTTATTGCGTGAAAGTTTACGTGATCCTGATTTAGATGGTTATTCTGCCATTATTATGGATGAAGCTCATGAACGTTCTTTATCGACTGATGTTTTATTTGGTTTGCTGCGTGAGGTAAGTGGAAATATTTTTATTATAACTAATGTTTAGGGAGTATGTATTATGGTCAAAGTATTTCAGAAAAGCAGGAAATTTTTCGAATTAAAATATCAACAGTTTTCCCGAAAATATAAAATATTAATTTCAAACGCGTATGCATAACTTTTTGTTTAGGATGAGCCACCTACACATAATGGAGGTGTTTTGAAATTAATCCTAAAAAGTAATCTCTTTGGTAAATATTGTCTGGTTGTAATCTCTTCCAGGATTCTTTACACGATAAGAGAATATAAACAAGAATTGTATATTGTTCTGTTCCGAAGTTTAGTAAACATTTGACAGAAGTGGTTGGTAGTTCTTTGAACTCTGTGTTAAATGCACAATTTTTAAATTATTATTTCAATAATGAAATATATTTCAAAATTGTATAAAATGGGTCATTGGTGTACCATTGTACTTTTGAAGGTCGAATTGTACCAAAAAAGTACAATTGTACCAATTTTGCTAATATGTACTGAGTGACATAGAATATAGCACAAGAAGGTTGCCGTAGGTTAGGTTAGTTGGTTGTCCTCGCGATGTCCCTTTGTAATACCAGAAATGAAAGAAACCATAGACTATACTATAGACTAGACTATACTAGACTATGGACTAGACTATAGACTAGACTATAGACTAGACTATAGATTAGACTATAGACTAGACTATAGACTAGACTATAGACTAGACTATAGACTAGACTATAGACTAGACTATAGACTAGACTATAGACTAGACTATAGACTAGACTATAGACTAGACTATAGACTAGACTATAGACTAGACTATAGACTAGACTATAGACTAGACTATAGACTAGACTATAGACTAGACTATAGACTAGACTATAGACTAGACTATAGACTAGACTATAGACTAGACTATAGACTAGACTATAGACTAGACTATAGACTAGACTATAGACTAGACTATAGACTAGACTATAGACTAGACTATAGACTAGACTATAGACTAGACTATAGACTAGACTATAGACTAGACTATAGACTAGACTATAGACTAGACTATAGACTAGACTATAGACTAGACTATAGACTAGACTATAGACTAGACTAGATAGACTATAGACTAGACTATAGACTAGACTATAGACTAGACTATAGACTAGACTATAGACTAGACTATAGACTAGACTATAGACTAGACTATAGACTAGACTATAGACTAGACTATAGACTAGACTATAGACTAGGACTATAGACTAGACTATAGACTAGACTATAGACTAGACTATAGACTAGACTATGACTATATAGACTAGACTATAGACTAGACTATAGACTAGACTATAGACTAGACTATAGACTATAGACTAGACTATAGACCTAGACTATAGACTAGACTATAGACTAGACTATAGACTAGACTATAGACTAGACTATAGACTAGACTATAGACTAGACTATAGACTAGACTATAGACTAGACTATAGACTAGACTAAGACTAGACTATAGACTAGACTATAGACTAGACTATAGACTAGAATAGACTAGACTATAGACTAGACTATAGACTATAGATAGACTATAGACTAGACTATAGACTAGACTAGCTAGACTATAGACTAGACGATAGACTACTAATAGACTAGACTATAACTAGACTATAGACTAGACTATAGAAGACTATAGACTAGACTATAGACTAGACTATAGACTAGACTATAGACTAGACTATAGACTAGACTATAGACTAGACTATAGACTAGGATATCGACTAGACTATAGACTAGACTATAGACTAGACTAGACTAGACTAGACTATAGACTAGACTATAGACTAGACTAAGACTAGACTATAGACTAGACTAGACTAGACTAGACTATAGACTAGACTAGACTATAGACTAGACTAGGACTAGACTAGACTAGGATAGACTAGACTAGAGACTATAGACTAGACTAGACTAGACTAGACTAGACTAGACTAGACTATAGACTAGACTAGACTAGACTATAGACTAGACTATAGACTAGACTAGACTATAGACTAGACTATAGACTAGACTAGACTATAGACTAGACTATAGACTAGACTAGACTAGAGTAGACTAGACTATAGACTAGACTAGTCTATAGACTAGACTAGACTAGACTAGACTATAGACTAGACTAGACTAGACTAGACTACAGACTAGGCTAGACTATAGACTAGACTAGACTAGACTATAGACTAGACTATAGTCTAGACTAGACTATAGACTAGACTGTCGACTATACTATAGACTAGACTATAGGCTAGACTATTGTCTAGACTATAGACTAGACTATATACTAGACTATTGACTAGACTATAGACTAGACTATAGACTAGACTATAGACTAGACTATAGACTAGACTATAGACTAGACTATAGACTAGACTATAGACTAGACTATAGACTAGACTATAGATTAGACTATAGACTAGACTAGACTATAGACTAGACTATAGACTAAACTATAGACTAGACTATAGACTAAACTATAGACTAGACTAGACTATACTAAACTATACTAGACTATAGACTAGACTAGACTATAGACTAGACTATAGACTAGACTAGACTAGAATAGACTAGAATAGACTATAGACTAGAATAGACTAGACTAGATTAGACTAGACTAGACTATAGATTAGCCTAGACTAGACTATAGACTAGACTAGACTAGACTAGACTATAGACTAGACTATAGACTAGACTATAGACTAGACTATAGACTAGACTATAGACTAGACTACAGACTAGACTATAGACTAGACTATAGACTAGACTATAGACTAGACTATAGACTAGACTATAGACTAGACTATAGACTAGACTATAGACTAGACTATAGACTAGACTATAGACTAGACTATAGACTAGACTATAGACTAGACTATAGACTAGACTATAGACTAGACTATAGACTAGACTATAGACTAGACTATAGACTAGACTATAGACTAGACTATAGACTAGACTATAGACTAGACTATATACTAGACTATAGGTTAGATTATGGACTGGACTGTAGACTAGACTATATACTAGACCATAGATTATATTATGGACTGGACTGTAGACTAGATTATGGAGTAGACCACAACGCATTTTATCCCTCAATTGCCATTTCAAAAACGTCAGATTTGACGGGAAAAACGTCAAATTGGCAACACTGCTTATTTTTGAATGTTTCCCCATCTCGTTTAGGGATGCCCGCCCTTCTAGGACTAAGTTTGATGTTGTGTAAACACCACTTAGAGCCCTTAAGGCTGCCTGGTAATCGGTGTATATACGAATATTAACGCCGTATATTCGGTAAAACTGTTTTATGGCCGAAATTTCAGCCTGAAGAATGCTATAATGGTCTCGAAGCTTAAAGGAAACTAAACCATGATCTTATTTTGAGTCATTGGTGAAGACCTTGTACGATCCGTCATAGAAGATTGTTTTCGTCGCAATTGAATTATGTTGTATAATCACTGAAAAGCTTCTAACAAAAGATGGTTTGGCGATGCTGTAATCAATGTTGTCGGGGATTGTTTCCTGGCAATTGAAACAGTTGTGTTGAGTCTAATTGCCGTATTCAAGGCAACCTCTTGAGCCATTAGATTAATAGGTAGCCATCCCATCAGGACAAAGAGAGCCTTTGCGAAGGGCCTCGGAGGATTCCTTTATAGCTTTTGAAGTGTAAGTCTTTTTGTGCAGATTTCCACCAGACAAGTGCACCTTATAATAATATGGGCTTAACTACAATTTCAAAGGGCCATTTGGTATTTCTGGGGTTTATGCCACACGACTATTTTCATAGTTATGTTCAAAAATTTTTTAAAACCTTTTAAAATAATCTCTCAAGGATCTATTAAAAAATAATTTTGTTTTCTTAGAAACCAATTTAGTAAAAATTTTCTATTGTAACTGCATTTTTCTATAAATTTCTTTCACTTTTAAAGTTTATCATAAAACTTACCTTTTTTGTATAAAATTTATTAAAAAACTTTCCAATTTGTTATAATATTGCTTTATTAAATATGTATGTATTTTTATTAAGCTCCAATAAGTGTATGATTTTCTTTAAAGTGTATATAAATTATTTAACTGGAAAAAAGCCACTTACAAAAAAAATATATAATATTTTTGTTGGTTATACAAAAAAATTATTGTTTTTTTTTTAAAGATTAATAGAAAAATAACACATTATTTTTTTTAATATTATTGTTTAAATATCACTTAAAAGCTAAATAAACAAATAATGTGTTTTTAATATAATAATATAAAATATTTTATTTACTTTATATAGTATTTAAATTTATACTTATAATTTAAAAAGCAAACAAAATCACATAATTTTTTTTTCATATAATAATTTTATTTTTATTTAATTTTTTTAATAACATTTCTTATTTGTTTTTAATGAGCAATGACAATATATTTTTTTGTTAAATTTTAATTTCATATTAAAGTAACTTTTAAAAACTATAAATATATAAAGACAACAATAACAATTGCTTAAATAATAATTAATAAATTATAAAAAAATAAGGTAAAACTTTTTTCTTTTATAAAAAAAATAATAATAAGTCTTTTCTCCATTTCTGTTACAAATTCACAGTTTTTCTTTTTTTTATAAAGTGTTAGGGCGGGTTATAAAATTGTTTTTTTCTTTTGTGTAATGCGAGTTTCTTTTTTTTTAAAAAAGTTTTTTGTTGTTGTTTTTTTTTGTAACTAGTTAAACTTTTGGCTTTAATTTTTTTTGTAATATGTATTTTAAAAACTTTTTTGGTGTTTAATTTGTTTTCGTTTATATGTTTATAAAAAGCATCGTAAAAATGGAATGATATCGATGCCTTAAAGCTTTTTAGTTTTTTTTACTTTGATAATAGAAGTTTGAAAATTGTTAGAAGTTTTAGTTTAAATACGAAAAGGAATGATAACAATATGTTATGTTTTTTTAAAGTTTAAATGATAAATTTTACTAAAAATCGTTTAAATATTACAATAACCAAAACTGGTTTTTTTTCGAAAAAAAAAAAATATAATTTCTTTTATTTTTAAAAAATTTTCCCAAATTTAGTTTAATTTGATGTTAATTTCTAATATTTTTTTAACTTCGAACTTAAAAATTTTGAACAATTTCTTAAATTAAAACATCAAAATTTTGATAAAATTTGAACATTTTCTTTAATTTTAATAAAATTTCAATGCAGTTTCAAAATTTAAGCTTTTTAGAAGAAGTTCGAAAAAATTTCGAAAATTCGAACATAACTTCGAAAATTTTTTGAAGCTCTGAAAAATTTTAATTTTTTTAAGAATTATAATGAGCTTTCCATTTAGTTTCAGTGTTTTTAGCTTTTTGAAGAAATTCGAAAAATTTTCGAAAATTCGAACTTAAGTTCGAACATTTTTAAAAGCTCTTAAAATAATCTCTGAAACTTGAGGATTCATAAAAATATTCTTTTAAGTTTTTTTTAAGAAGCTAATATCTCATTTTTTTTCAAATCCGAATTTCAAAATTTTGAAAATTTTTATAAATTTTGGTTTTTGTAAATTCCCTGACTATATAATTCTATTCCTTTATTATTTTAAAATATTTTGCCTTTTCCTGGTTTTCCTTCATTTAATTTTTTTCCATTCTAAATCTGTTATACGAAAAAGTTCACTTAACTTTTTAATAAATTTCAAGTTCTTCATTGTTTATTTTCAAAATATGTGAACTTTTTCGTATTTTATTTTATTCTATTCTGTTGAAAAAGCTCATATTTCATGTCTTTCATTTGTTTAAAAGAACATTTTGTCTCAAAATCTTGCTAAAATTTCCCTTTATTTTTTCCGAAATATATGAACTTTATTCATTTATAACTTAACGAAAAAGTTCTTATATCTCTTTCACTTAAACTTTTAAGTTTTCTATAATATACTTTCGAAATATATGACCTTTTTCGTTAAATTTATTTTAATTTTCATAGTCTTTTTTTTTTTTAAAAACGGCCTATATTACACGTCTTTATGAAGAACATTGTTCAAAAATTTAAGTGAATTTTCAATATTTTTTAAAAAAAGGTCATATTTTTCTATTCTCTAGTTCGAAAAAGTTCATAGATTTCATTTTTTTCGAAATATATGACCTTTTTCTTAAATTATTTTTCAAAAATCCTAAAAAGTCTATATTTCATGTCTCTAATAAATTTCAAATTATCAAAAAGGGTCTCACATTTCATTGTTCGAAATATAAGACCTTTTTCGTATCATGTTTCCTAAACTTCTTATTTTTAAAAAAAGGCTACATTTCATGTCTCTAATAATCCTAAAGTATTTTCGAAAAAGGTTATAGATCTCCTCATTTAATCATTTTCGAAATATATAGCCTTTTTCTTTGTTCCATATGATTTGCAAAATCTTTGAAAAAAGTTATATATTTCATGTCACTAATACCCTAAAATGAAGAAAGTAGAACCTAAATCTCTCGACTTTAACTAATTTTCGAAATATTCAACCTAAATCTCCTGACGACAGTTTACTTTCGAAATATTTAACCTTTTTTTATAATAATTCTATAATATTTTGTAATTTTGTTTAAAAACAGTTTATATTTCATGTCTCATAGATTTACGTTTTCAAACGGAGGTAGGCAAAGAGCTATCTTGTGAGCTTTTTTGCTCTTTTGTTCTTATACGTAGTCAGCTTATTTTTAACTCTCTGTATATCTCTGCTTAAATACTGAGCTTTTTATTACATATGGGCAAAGAGCTCTCTTGTGTTTAAAGCAGACATTGGCAGAGCGAGAGAGAGACATTTGAGCTTTCTGATGGCGTTCATACGTTTATATAAAGATTTGAAAGCTTATATACTTTCGAAAGTAAAAGATAGGAATAAAACTTATAAAAAAGCTCTATGCCTATCTCTGCTTAAACGTAAGAAAGCTCATTTGTCAGAGTGTTAAAAAATATTCTTTTTTAACACTCTGACAAAGAATATTTTGAAAATTATTAAAAAATTTCAACAATTTTTTATTATAAAAGTTATGTCTTAATAATCTTTCAAGAGAACGTTTTGCCTGTCACTGTTTTAAACCTATGTATGCTATACAAATAAAAGAGAGCTCACACTGGAACTCTCTGACGTTGCCTGGTTTAAAAATTATTCAATAATTTGATAAATATTTGATATATAAGATTTATCTTAACAATCTATGAAGAGAGCCATTTGCCTGTCACTGTTTTAAGCTTATGTCAGCTTAAACATTCATGCAAACTTAGAGAGCTCATTTTGTTACTCTCTGACGATGCCTAGTTGAATAATTTTTAATATTAATGTTTTGTTTTAACAATCTCTGTTTCTGTCACTGTTTTAAGCGTACGTAAGCTTAAACATTCATACAAACTGAGAGAGCTCATTTTCTTACTCTCTGACGATGCCTGGTTTAAAAATTAATCAACAATTTGATAAAAATATCAACAATTTTTAATATATAAGTTTTTGTATTAACAATCTCTTAAGAGAGTCGTTTGCCTGCCACTGTTTTAGGCGAACATAAGCTAACACATTTAAATATAGTACATAGAGAGCTCATATTGTTACTCTCTAATATATTCTGGTTTAAAAATTACTAAATAATTTCAGCAAATTTTGAATATAACTTTTGTTTTAACAATCTCTTAAGAGAGCCGTTTGCCTATCGCTGTTAGAGAGCTCATTTTTTTAACTCTCCAATAAAACTTAGTTTAAAAATGATTAAAATGTTTTAACAATAAAAAGTTTAGTCTTCACAAACTGTGGTTTTCGTTTTACTAAACGCTGGTATTTGTAATATTTAAAAGATTTTGTTTTAAAAAATGTCTTTTAAAAATATAGTTTTTTTTTAAGAATTTAATTTTAAAACATAACATATTGAAACAATTAATAAATAAACTTCTTTTTACCAAAATGTTTAACAACAAATATTGCTCCTTAACTTCATAGAAGTTTTTAAATTAGTAAAAAAAAATTCAAAATTATTTGAAAATTTTTTAAAATTTTTTTAAAAATTTGTTAAAAATTTAAATTTTTTTTTTCAATTTTCATATTTTTGTAAAGAAAAGCTTAAGTTTAACTAGCTACTAAAGGCCATGGCTAGTTTAGGCTTATAAAAAAAAATTGTGGCAATTGTTAATTATTTTTTTAATTGTTTTTGTTTTAAAAACTAAAATTATAAAATGAGGACTAGAATTTATTATGAAAAGTAAGACGAGTATAAATAGTTTTAATAATACTTAAACGTATAACATATATATACGATTAATTAGGCAATTGCATATATATTTATATAAAGAAATTTTTATATATAAACTGTTTGTTTATATATATTACTTGTTAAAACACAACAACAGTTTAATAAAACTTTTGTATAGGTGTTTTTTGTTTAATATTAAATAATTTTTTTTTTAAATTTTATCTTATCTCATTTACAAATAAAACAAAGAACAAAACACAACTCTCATGAATTCTAATCCTCATTAATAATATTTTAATTTTAGACAAATAATTACCCACATTTGCAATATAAAGCAAAATGTTTAACACAAATTGAGTTATAGAAAATTTTGCGCAAATTTGCACAAATTTCTAATTTACTTAGAGGTGGAATAGGATTTTTGTTTATTCATTAATAACAACATGCCGGCATTCATGCCCACACTGCCCCACTTAACGCATTCGGACATCTGTAAAGAGAAAGAAAACAAAAATAATTTTAAATTTCAGAAACTTTAAAAATTTCTTATCATCCTACCTGTCGTTTTCTGACATCCTGTTGACGACTACCGTAGCGACACCAATATACAAAGTGCTTATTATTATTCCACAAGCTTTGTTTGGCTTTGCGTGCAAAGGATATCTGCAAACAGTTTTTGTTAAATAAAAAAAAAACATTAATTATTATTTGTTGCTTTAAATTTGTAATAAAAAAAGTTTCTTTTTAGCCTACACCCATATTAAAGCGTTTAATTGTCGTCTAATTTTGGTTTAGCTTTTGGTTTTTTTAGAAAACGTTACATGGTGTTTATCGCTTTCTTTTTTTGCTCCTCTTCTAATTAGTGATCCTAGTAAAAAGGTTCATTATTAGAATGGGTTTAAGGTTAAATATTTAATTTGTTTATATTCAATATTTATCCTGTGTTGTAAGAGTTTCTTTATTTTCCTTGTTGTTGTTGTAAGAAGAAATGAGAGAGGGGGGAAGGCTTAAAAAATTTTAAAAAATAATAAACCTCAATGTTAACTTAAACCATTTTTTCAATTCTATTATAGAAAGTGTTTAATAAACTATTAAAATACAATATTATTTGTATTAGCAATAAAATAGAAATAATTAATTTATAATAAAACTATTAAAATAAAATTTAGAAACAATTTGAACCGAGAGACCAAAGTAGAATTTCTTCTTAACATCAGTTTTTCGAGATATCGTGGCCTAAAGTTTAAAATACCTCGGTTGTTATAACAGCGCTAATGTTATATCCTAACTTGAAGAAGAAAGGAGATATAAGACATGTTTAACCCTTATATTAAAGTCATCAGTATGGACTTTCAGATGACGTAACAAAAATTATAAATAAACATGTCTTAACGCTGTTGTAACGTCTCAAATATGGCCAAGATCGGGGTATTTCAATCTTTAGTTAGCGGTTTATAGAAAACTTTATGTGATGGAAGATACATGTGGATTCAATGGATCGTTTAAAAAAGTATACTTTGATCTCTGGGTTAAACATTTATTGATTAATACTTAAAAAGTTACACTAAGCGCCCTCTACCGGGCAAGAAAATATAACAATTAAAAAGAAAAATTCATCAAGATTTATGACCTCAATTATTCTTTTGCCTTAATTCCGTTCGACAAGAGGTTGTGAGAGAGAAACCTTGATATTTAAGATCCTAAAAAGTTGATCAACCAACATGGTAGCTCACTGGAAGCAAATAGTCAAGTAGAGTCGAAAGGACTTCGTTTGACAGGACCAAATAGTATTATAGTATTAGATCCAACCTGTAGCCTTGAGAAATCTCAAAAGGTCATTAAGTTTAGACTCAGATAACTCAATAAGCATGGATATGAGACAGTGTAATACAGCTTTTACTAATTTTATATAAGTCCAAATTGTCCAGTAAATAAACTCGTTAGTATCTTAAGTTTCCAAAAGAAACTTTCATTTGAGATCAGAGGTCTCTTCAAAGACCAAAAAGCTTGGATTGAAACCAAACCAGCATAGTATGACATTCGTAGGGGAATGCTAGAATTACATCGATCATCGTTATTAGCTTGACAATCAGTATGTGTGTTCCGTGGTTAATGTCAGTCCATAGTTTTAAACTGTGTTATTTTGAAATATAAAACAGTACATGACAACTACTGACCTACACGATAAACAGTTAAGAGACTTCAGAGACAGAAACTCTAGAAGCTAGAAGTCTGAGTTTATTCTAGCTTATCCATAGATCAAGTTAAAGAAGGTCTTTATCCAAGAAAGTTACTTCAAGCGTTTCTATTGTCCACTCAATCGGTTCATTTGTTTCCTATGGCGTACATGACAACTACCGACCTTAGCCTACACGATAAACAGTTAAGAGACTTCAGAGACAAAGACTCTAGAAGCTAGAAGTCTCAGTTCTAGCTAGAAAGTTACTTCAAGCGTTTCTATTTTATCCACTCAATCGGTTAATTTGTTTCCTATGGGACCCCCATGGACAGTTAACCTTGCACAAGATCAGTTCATTTTGTTAAAATAATGTCTGGCAACTCCCATTTGAAGAGGACTGAGTGAAATCAGACTTTTAGACATCACTAGTATTCTTACGCCCCTTTATCTTGTACTCACTCTTTCCAATGTAAAGGAAGAGTTAGGATTCTACAAAATTGAGTCGAGCATCTCAATTGCCCAGTCTATCGGTCAGTTTGTTCCAAAAAGAACACTCAAAGAGCGGTTACCTCACACAAGTTCAGTCTATTTTACTAACTGAGTGAAGTCAGGTTTTCGGATAACACAAGTACTCATACATCCCTTTCCAATGACGAAAAAACACCGACTTTATCCTCCTACTCGAACATCCATAGAATATAACATTTATTCTTCCCTTCAGCCCTTTGTACTTTGAGTCCCTCGAATAGCCGACTATTAGGGCCTATCTTAGATAACTGTTTAATTCAAAGATGTAATATAAAGCAGAAGTTGACCCCCATACTCTCTTTAGCATACAAAGAGAAAGATAGAAACATTTCCAAGGGAATTTTATCCATTATGCCTTCGGTCAAGAAACTAAGTGTGTCTAGTGACGAAATAAAGCCCTGAATTTGTTGTAGAACATCCATAGGTTCCTTGAGTCACTCTCTGAAGATTTGAGCCATCATCCGAGTGTCATATGAGAAGAGTTCTTTCGGTCAATAAACTAGAGGTATATAAAAGATGGTTCCTTTAGTGGCTACCAATTGGAGAAATATCTAACGTTATATGAGCAATAACAAGTGCCTTTGGTCATGGAATAGATCGTTGTAATGCAACAGTTCAGTCAACAAAACTTTAAGTTTCGCACCAGTTATGTCGGACTAATCATACTCTCTAGAATAATACTCTTTAGAATCGCACCCTTTAGAATCGTACCCTTTAGAATCGTGCTCTCTAGAATCTACCCTATAAGTGTTTATTGACGTTTTTGCCGAAAACAGTTCTTTTTGAAATGTCATCTAAAATTCGAAAGCTCAGTTTCTAAAGCTTTCGAGATCTTTCTCTAATCTATATAGAACAACAAGCTTAAAGCTTTCTAGTCCCACATAGACTGTTTGGTGGTCAATCCTATCATAGCCTACTTCATTACTCTCATTAGATTAAAGGGGTCTTTCCGCTGAAGTATCACAACTCCCTGGACTTGCCATCAATTCAAATACTCTAGATTTAGGTTGTAGACTTCTTTCAAATTCCTATAATTAAAAACATAAATGTTCTTCTGAATCGAAACTATAAATGACGTATACGATTTCGGGAACTATAGTTGGAATAAAAGTTTTATGTGACCTAAGAAGATAACTGTTTAAGTTTGACCTAAGATGATAACTATATGCAATTTGTTTAGTCTTTGAGGGATCATGCAACTTGAGTCTTTATATATAGTTCTTAACATTATGACCCCTGGATTAATCTCGTTTATAGAGGGTTTAGGGCTTTGGTTTTCCGAATATTATCTTCTTGCTAACTGGTATGTTCAGTATATAACCGAATGGAATTCCCTTCTTTTCTTTTTTAAGATCTCGAAAACGAAAAAGAGAATTATCATTTACAGAGAGATCACAAACTCTATTTCTCCAAAACTCACAGGGTCTGTCACAATAATTTAAAGTTTGTGAATGAATTACTCTATTCTATAACTCAAACATTAAATATTAACTATTCACCATGTTTATAAATATTTTAAACCTTGAAATTATCTTAAATTAATCTTAATCCAATCTAAAACTATTTATAATTAAAAATAACTTAAATTATTCAAAACTTATGATATAAATTATTTAAAAAAATATTTGCAACATTACCTGATTTCTTATATCCTTTTCATTGTGTGGCGGTTTTTCTTTATCAGCAAAATTATTAATACGCAATTCCCAATCATTATTCCAAATGTCATCCAGTGACATTTTTATCATTTTAAAGGTGCCATTCTCACGTATTTTCACAGAAAATATTTCAATTGTTTCGGGTTTTGGTTTATTATCTGCAAAAAAAAAATAAATGGGAAAAATACAATTAGAAATTTAAATATTTATTTTAAACTTTTAAACAATTTACATTTTAAAGGCAAATGTTTGAGTGGAGAATTTTTGAAAAAATTCCAGAAAAAATTCCATTTAATTTATAGAAAAAAAAAACTTGCAACTTTATTATTATAAGTGTGTGTTTGATTTAAAATTTTAAATCTTAATAAATTTGTTGACACTAATTTAATTGTTATTTATCCAGATTATTCTTACACAAAGAGTCAGTTGTCTTTTTTATTATTATTATTTTTTTATTTTCATAGCGATTACGAAAGTATGATAAATTACCCCAGCTGTTTGCTGGGGGCATGTTAATAACATTTTAAAATTTTTTTGTAACGTTTTAAAAGTGAACTTGAAATGTTATGAAATGGCAAAAAAGACCCGGTGGGAAATGTTTGCTTTTTGATCCCATTTTCCGAATATTCAGATGGTTGTGAAACAACAAGAGCCTCCCATGTAAACGATGGGGTTTGGCAATATATAGTGCTGAAGTCAGAGGCAGATTTGTAGGATTTCTCGAATTTAATATACTGCCAATCAAAGAACTGGATCTGTTATCTATCATTATCTAGATTAAGGTTTCTAAGCGTAGAGACCGGCAACCAAGTAAGCAGAAGATGGCCTAGGTATTGATTCAATGTCTACATTGGGCCTTTGAGATGGCAAATATCTAAACAAATGCCTATGCAAGGTCTGTTCAAATCTTTTCTTTATCTCCTTACTTTATTTATGATTTTCTAAACGAATGGGGAGCGATAATGATTTAACAAGCTTCTACGTTAATATATTTTATAGATGTATTCTATACAATGTATACCAAAGACTCGCAAAGGTGTAGAACTAAGATTCTTCTCTACTGAACCTGGAATACAGTCCTTACTTCTTGAGGAGTCTTACCCTAAATGACTAACATTGATCTCTGGTGGTACAGATTGCCAATCAAGAAGAGAGAGAAAGAACATTAGTACGTTTATCAACGCCATAAAGACACTTTCTGCCAATTACAGACATACGAAAAAATTTGTCCCGGCGAAAACGAGAGGCTCCCTATGAATTGTTATTTGATAATTAAAGGAGGCTGAATGGCAATCGCTTTTGAATGGCAATAATAGCAGTTGTTTTCTTAGAAACTAGACTCCAAGAAATGTATCCTTGGGAAAACGAGAGAGATCCATTGAAATCTAGGGATCGGTAATTGATCATTTAAAGTTGCAAGCAGATTAGGACTCTCTTTTGAATGTCATATAATGAAGTTAAAGTTGTGGGAATCTTGGAATAAACTGAGAAGACAAAAGTTTTCTTCCGATCGGATTTAAAGTTGCAAGAAGATTAGGATTCTTTAGTAGTAACAATAGTTTCCTCAGTAATTTTCTACTGGACTCGAGAAAATTGTGTAACTGGGAAAACCAGATATAACCAATGGAATCTAGAGATCTATAATCGATCGAATATTAACAATAGCAGTTGTGGGAATCTACACCTTAGAAGATAGAAGCTTTCTCAGTAATTTTCTACTGGTCACGAAAAAATTGTGTCCCTGGGAAAACGAGAGAGACCCATTAGAATCTAAGGATCGGTAATTGATCATTTAAAGATGCCAGCAGAATATAATATTGAATGTCATTAAAAGCGGGAATCTTTGAATGCATCTCAGAAGACAAAAGTTTTTTCCGAAATTTTCTACTGTAGTAAAACATTAGGGTTATATAACTGTCGCTAGGTTAAGAAACTTTGGCCTAGTACTTGCATCTGCCGAGATCAGAAAATTTTCTTTGAAAATATATTAATATTTCAAACTTTTTTCGAGTAGAATATTTGGGATATATGTTGCTGTTGCTAGGGCGACAAGTTTTGGTCTTTATGAAGAGAAATTGCAGTTAACTTTAATCTCTCTCTCTCTCTCTTAAGATCTGAAAACTTTAGCCCCATAGTTGGCACTTCAATCCCTCGACCAGTAAACTTTGAAACAAATATTGAAATCGTTAAGGAATCATTTTACTGATGAAGAGTCAAATAGTTTAAGATTCATATTAAGGGACAGTAATTGCAGCTGTTGGAATCTGGGAAAACGACTTAAAAGACTTATAGGAGTTCGGTTTATATAGAAGTCGCTACTTGGATCGTCTGAGAGAATAGATCCCATTGTTGATGGAACATTTAGAACTATGTCAAGTTTTAAAACTGTATGGCAATACTTTTAGAACTGATTTGTGATTTCTAAGTATAATACCTTATCTAGATCTGACGTCTTGAAATTCTATGATTCAAAACTTGTGTAAAAAATAAATTTCTATAACATCTTACAAATAGAAGTGTATTTAAAATTAACACGTAAATAATTTGTTATTAACATTCTTAAAGATTAGATAACTCTTCTATATATAGATAAATCTAATAACGTTTTTCATTTGATTTATAGAAATTAGTTAAAATATGATTTAAAATTAAACAGCCCCCATATATATTGTTATAACCAATATACAATATAGATTTGATAATAACATTATAAATTAAAATAGAAAGTTAATTAATCACAATTGTAATCAAAATTTATATAGAAAAATATCTCTTAAGGGGGGTAAGGAGTCGGAAAATTGTTGTTTTTAAATTTATTACTTCATCAGTTAAGGATAATTATGAAAGTCAAGTGAACTTCTAGATTTTACCATTAAATGATTCCAAACCAAAGTAGATCGTACTAGTACTTTCCCGCTGACAATTCACCACTTCTATAAGTGAGTAAAAGTCATGTAAACAAGTCACTAGGGACACTTCAATCTTTAAATTGCAAACTTTTTCAACCTCAATTATTCTCTTTATTTAATATTTATCACACGTCTGAGTCATTAATATTTAATACTTTTCTTTTTGTTTATAAATTCTCCTACATAAATTTTAAATTGTTATTAATTTTAAATAGTTTCTAAAGTAAACTCTTTCTGCCTTAAGTCACTGACACTTTTATTTATTTGTTCTTGAAGTAAGAATAACAAAATTGATAAATAATGAACTGTTGTAATAATATTGACTTTTTATTTAATTCCTTTTTAATGCCATATAAATATTTACAAAAAAATTTTACAACAAAATCGGCCATGTTACGCCTAAAGTGTATTATAAAAAAAGTAATAATAATAGTATATTATTGCTAATAGGAGGAGATAAGAAAGTAATTGCTTAATTTATAAAATATGAAGTGATTAAGTTTAAAGCGAAATGCGAGTAATAGAAGTTTAATAAAACAATTAAATACACTGAGAACAAGTCTTAAACCAAAAGGAAATACTTAAAAAAATCATTCCTTAAAGTAAACAACTCTTGCAAAGCTTGTAATCATAACAAATTTTGGTAAAATCATAAAATTTTCTATACTTAAACAAGAAAATGTAAGAAATTTTGATTTGCTATACTTAGTGAACTTTACAAGGTCTTGTAAATATGTTATAACAAAACAAATTGAAAGTTTTGACTTAAATCGCTGAAAATCATTCCAACAGGTCTTGTAAATAAGCAAGACCTTTTTTCATGACTTCCTCTTTTTCCTTTCTCATATTTGCTACTTTGCAAGACCTTGCAAATATGCCATACCAAAGAAAATATGAGTTTTAAGTTTAATTGAAACTACAAATCTTAAATCAATGATTTGCAACACTAAAAATCAATACAAACAGGGCCTTGTAAATATGCCCTCCATAGAATATTTTTTTCATGACTCTATAATTTGCATATTTGCTACTCTTGCAAATAAATCTCTTATCAATAGTAAAAAGCATTAAAAATAAATCATTAAAAGACTAAAATTCATAGTAAATGGGTCTTGCAAATATATCAAACTGAAAGAAATACATTTTTAATACAACTATCTTTTGCAAATTAGCTTTTTCGACTATTTGCAAGATTGCTAACACAGGTTGGTAAATATGCCACACTAAACAAAATGTTTGCAAAACTTAAAATCTTAAAAATTTTTTTTTTTAAATCCAAAAATTGCTAATTTATAGCAACAAATTATAACAAACTTTAATTTGCAATACATAGCCGTATTTACAAGACCTTGCAAATATGTTATAACAAAATAAATGTGACTTTTAACTTTAAATTAAATTACAAATGGCAAAACGGGGATTTTTAAGACTTAAAATCAACACAAACAGGTCTTGTAAATATGCAAGACTTGATAAATTACTATTTTCAGCTTCATCTTTAGCATATTTACTAGCCTTGAACATATGATATCCATAGTGAAGAAAAATACAAAATAAATCTCAAAATTTTCTTTATTGTCTTTGCTAGACTAAAATTCATTGCAAATGGATCTTGTAAATATATCAGACTAAAAAAATAGTGTTGCATAACTCAATCTTTTGGAAAATTTCTTTCTTTTCTATTTTTATAAATATGTATGCAATATTAAAAACATTGAACAAATGTTATGGTAAATATGCAACACTAAATGAAATGCTTACTATTCTTGTAAGTATGAAACCAATAGTAAAGAAACTTGGTCTTGTAAATTTACTACTCTTGTAAATGTGTCCTTAATAGTGAAGAAACTTTTAAAATTAATCACCAAACTGTGATTACTATATTTGCTAGACTAAAAATCTTGTAAATATACCAGACTAAATCAAATGCTATTTCAAGGCATTTCTCTTGTTGCTTTTGCTATTTACAAGACTCAATAAAACTAGTTTGGGAAATATACAAGACTACATGAAATACTTCTCTCTTTAGGCATATTTGCCACTCTTGCAAATATACTATGGTGAGTTTTGCTTTCTAACTAAACGAACTCATTTTTACTATAAGTAAAAATCCATTAACTTAAAGTAAACAACATTTGACATCACTGTCAAAAACTCACTCCTTAAGAGATCATTAAGCAACCAAAGAGTATTTAACCAACTTAAGAGTATCAAACAAAAGAGAACATAATGCATATTCATTTGAAATATTTGGTACTAAAAAAAAAACAAAGTTATTTATTCGATATTAGAGTTGTAAAACTCAACAGTAATAAAGGCATAAATAATAAAACAACCAAAGTACAAAAAAAAAAAAAGAAATCAACATCAAAATTTCGCTAAAAAGAATTTTCGAGAATACAAAATCTAGTATTTTGATTCTATAAAATATGTTTGCATTAGAGGTGGTTGTTTATAAACAACAGCAGTAAAAAAAAGTTTTAATTATAAATATGCGTTTTATATTATTCTGTTATTTACCATTTTTGTAGTTGTTTTATTTATTATTGTTGTGGCAAAATCGCTAGACCACTTAAATACAAATTATGCATACATAATTGAAAATTGGACTGAATACATAGATATTTTTTTATTGTTGTTTTTTTTATGACAGTTATCTCTTATAGTTTATCATCAATTTGATTTTCTTACTCACTAAAAGTTATTATTGTTTATATTCAACGTTGACATGATTATTGTGTTTAAACAAAAAAAAAGTATGAAGAAGAAGCTGATTATTGTGTCATCTCAGTTCGTCATAATTGACAAAAACAATAATAAAAATACGCATACTTAAGTAGTGAGGTTGGCTTGAATAGTGCGCAAATGAAATAGTTAAATTTTGATTCAAAAATTTGAAAATTACATCCACTATAGACTATCTAGAGTCCAGACTATAGAATTTCTAGACTTCAGAATATAGACAAACTATAGTTCAGACTATATATCTATAGTCCAGATTATAGGGAATCTATAGTCCAGATTATAGGGAATCTATAGTCCAGACTACAGAAAATTTATAGTTCAGACTATAGACTTTCTAGAGTCCAGACTATATACAATCTATAGTGCAGACTATAGACAAACTATTGGTCAGATTATAGACAAGCTATCCAGACTATCGACAAATTATCGTCCAGACTATAGACAAACTATAGTCCAGACTATAGAGAAACTTTGGTCCAGCCTATAGACAAACGATAGTCCAGACTATAGACAAACTATAGTCCAGGTTATAGACAAACTATAGTCTAGACTATAGAGAAACTTTAGTCCAGCCTATAGACAAACTATAGTCCTGACTATAGACAAACTATAGTCCAGATTATAGATAAACTGGAGTCCAGATTATAGACAAACTATCGTCCAGACTATAGACTCTATACAGTCCATACTATAGAGAGTATATAGTCCATACTATAGAGAGTTTATAGTCCATACTATAGAGAATCTATAGTCCAGACTATAGACAACCTATATTCCAGACTATAGAGAGTCTATAGTCCAGAATATGGAGAATCTATAGTCAAGACTATACAGAGTCTAAAGTCCAGACTCTTTAGAGACTCTGTAGTTTAGATTATAGAGAGTCTATAGTTCACACTATAAATAGTCTATAGTTCAGACTATAGAGAGTCCATAGTCTGGACTATAGACTCTCTATAGTCTGGACTATAGAGAGTTTATAGTCTAGACTATAGAAAGTCTATAGTCCAGACTATAGAGAGTCTATAGTCCAGACTATAGAGAGTCTATAGTCCAGACTATAGAGAGTCTATAGTCCAGACTATAGAGAGTCTATAGTCCAGACTATAGAGAGTCTATAGTCCAGACTATAGAGAGTCTATAGTCCAGACTATAGAGAGTCTATAGTCTAGACTGTAGATAGTCTATAGTCTAGACTATAGAGAGTCTATAGTCCAGACTCTAGTGAGTCTATAGTCCAGACTCTAGAGAGTCTATAGTCCAGACTATAGAGAGTCTATAGACCAGCTTATAGAGAGTCTATAGTCCAGAGCGTTGGAAATTACTACTTTGCTTAAACAATAATGGGAGTAACTAAATTGTACTAGAAAAAGTACCTTTCTTCCCCTGTGCCTAAAATGTACTTAAAAGCTCATCTCTAATAGTTGGATGCTGTTGCTGTTAATGTCTGTTTTCTTGCTGATAACATTATGATTTAATAGTTAATAAAATTTTTTATTTAATTTCAATTCATTGATTTAGTACATACGTGAATATGGTTCTTTTTTAGGTCACAAATGTGATGATGCTAAAAGTCCCTAATAAATTAATTAATACAAATATATTTTATAAATATTAAATATATATTCTGGTGGTATATACATATTAATATATTTATACATAAAGTATATATTATAAATATTTATTTAATTTTTTGTTGCTTATTATTATTTTTTTAAAAAGAAAATCAAACAAACATAAATAAAATGTCACGAGCTTTAACTCGTGTTAAGAACATTTTTCTTAAAATAAAAAAAGTAAAAAAATAAAAAATATATTCGTATACCAACAAAATATATTAAACGAAAATGTATTTATAAAATTTTTTATTGAAATATTTTTGTGGACTTGTTTTTTTTCATTTATTTACGCACGTACACACATTTTTGAATAAATTGTCATGATGCTGTTTTTTTGTTTTGGCATATAACAAATTTTCTTAAATTCCTTAAAGAATTAATGCAATATTTTAAATTCAGCGCCTATAGAGTATCATATGTCTTCAAATCAATGCAGGTTTTAGTGTTTCAAAACCTTAGTTGAGTTGGTTAGAGTGTTTACTTTTTCGAGATCTAGAAGGTCTTGAATGTCTGGTAATAATTAATCGAAAGGTTGGTTAGATTAACGTTTTGGACCATGATAGGGTTGTCCAACTTTTGAAGCATGATTTAGGAAAAACAACAAGTTTTGAGACTTCCCGTAAGTCGCAGTTATAGAGAACGGGCAGTAGGTAGGTAATACATTAGGATCTCAGAAATCCTTATCGTTAATTGAGAAGTTGTGCTGATTTGGAGTTGGAGTCAAGGCTGGATTTGTAGTTTATACTGCCGTTCAGCCACAGTTAGTTAGTGCTATTCAAGAGGTACAAAGTGCTGTAAATTAATAACGAATATCAAGGATCTTTGGACCCCTAGAGGACAGATCATATACCAGAATACTAGGATTGGACATGTTAGGAATTTTTATAAGTTACGGAGTGGTGTTAGTTAGCTTTGAACGGAATATCAAGGATCTTTTGATCCATATTGGGCATATTGATTAGAAGAATACTGGGATTAGACATAGGCAGTTCAAGAAGTCTTGTAGGTTTGATAATAGATCAATGTTTGACTAGGAATAGCAGAGGTGGTGAAGTCTAAAAAATGACAATTACCTTCTGGTGCAAATTGGAGACATCGCTTAGCAGACTACTGCTAGGATTGAACAACGGCAGATAGCTTTTATGAGGATGAAAATTGTCATTGTTTGATAAGGACAAGAAAATTGGCAGAGTGCTCTTAATCTCATTTCGAAAGAAAGACGTACTGAGGAACTATTGGTCCATTTGGAGCATATTGAATATCAGAATACTACAATTGAACTCTAGTCGCTGAAGATCCTTTATAGGCTTTCAAATAGGCCATTGTTTAGTGAGGAATAGTAAAGGAAGGAGGGCTTTGCAGGTGTCAAATATACAAGTAACTTCTGATCCAAATTGGACACAACTTAAAGAAGAATACCACCAGAATTGTACATTGAGAATTAAAGATGTTTTGCAGGAGCGGTATCGGGACATATTTGAAAAGGGCTAGAAAAAGTAAATGGAACAATATCGATACTGAGGGAGCCCTTAATGACACCCTAACTTAAGCTAAGAATCCCTATGCTTAAGATTTCTATAACTTCAATGACATTTTTACAAAATCCCCCAAAAACGGGCTTCTTCTCCCTTTTATCCTTTTCCATCCAAAGAAGGAATAACTCATATGGAGAACCTACCTTTATTAGTTTTACACAGCACCACACCAAACCATGTGGTAATTGGTGTTTTATTTTCATCTTGTGAATCCAAATCATCCTCATCGTCATCATCATCAACGTCGTCAACAACATCATGATGATGATGACTGTGATGATTACGATATGCACCATTCGAAGACAATAACATTTGAACACTTGTTTGATGATGTTTGCAAAATTCCTCAACGTCTTCGTGTTCATAACTGTCGTTCGAACTGCTACTGCTGCTTCCGCTGTTATTTTGTTGTCGTGTCTTATTCGTTAGAGACAATAGACGTTGACGTCTACGCTGCTGTTGTTGGGCTAATTTCCTGGCCACAGCTGCACTACTGCGTACTTCAACAATGAAACCGCACTCGACTACAGCACAAAAAATACGTTGTTCATCAGGTTTAAACCATTTGGATTCACGTAACTTTTGTACAGCCACCGAACTGCCGAATGTTTGAGCTGTTGATGTCCTATTGAATGGTATAAGACCGCGGAAACCCAGACCACTGCTGCTAGAGTTATGTGAAGGGTTTTGATGGTGGCCCACATTAACAGTGCCACCACCGCCGCCGCCACCACCACCATCACCAGTATTGCCATTGTTTTGTGTTTGATTTAAATGACCCTGTAAAGGCCACCATTTTAAAGCGGAGACAAAACTATTTGAACGATTCATATTTATAGTTGTGGCTGCCGTTGTGAGACTTTTCCAAAATTAAAGCTCGTTATTGAAAAAGATTTTTTTGTGAAATTTTCACGTGCGTGTATTTCTTTAAAAAAAATATATAAAAAAATTAACTTTCACTAGCTTTTCCTAATTATTTTCTATTTATTGTCTTATTTTGCGTGCAACACGATTTTTTTCTTCTTTGAAATGTTCAATATATAATAAGTTTAATGATTAATTAAATTCCTTTTTTTTTGGTTTCTTTAAATAAATGCACTGCACTTTAACTCTGGTCACTTGTTTGGTAGTTTGTGTTAAATCACACAATTTTTGTTTTTTTTTAGTTTATTTGTCTCTTCCACTTCTCCTTACTTCACTTTTAAAGCCGTTAGTTAGTTATTTTTTTATTTTACTTGATATTTTTTATTATTAAATATGTTTTTCTTTTATTTTTTACGTATATTTAACGGCACAGAAAAAAAAGTCCATTCGTGTTTTATTTCTTTAGGTTTATTTTGCTTTCAGCTTTTAGCTCCACTCTGTAAGAAATTCACAAGATAAATACCGAATATATTAGGGAAATAGGTTTATTTAAAGCCGGTTTGTTTGCGGCTCGCTACACACACCGAAAAGAAAAACGAATGTTTAAAAATCTTTCATTCTCTTTAGTTTCGTTTGCTCAGTGTATTTCTATAAAATATACTCTTTTTTTTGCTTATCTCTCTCTCTCTTTTAGATTAAACAATAATAAAAATTACATTCACTTACTAATTCACCATTAGTTAGTGGAGAGGTGTATACGTGCTATGCACTGCATTCGTTACATACACGTATACATAAGAACAACAAAACATAGTGTTATTATTTATCCCTATAAGAACAGTGACAGTCGTTTGACCGATCAATTGACTGTCACTACTGAGAATATACCCATCATTGCGTAGAACAAAGCTCCCATCACTTTCTTAAGGGCAATATGTAAAAAGTGATGGAAACATTTGTGTACATGTGATGTTGCATCACCCTCGCACTTATGAATTCAATCGACTTTAAAACATATATTTGAGCTGCTCACTCTTTTGTTGTTTACTAATCATGAATGATATAAATATTAGTCATGATTGACTAATCATGCTTGATGGATATATCCATCACAATTAACAAATAAAAAAATGATGCATTAATCGGTCATTGTTGACTAATCACACTTGATGAATATATCCGTCAAATCTGACGGCTATACCAATTTATAATAAAACACAATTTATTGATATTTTAATATATATATATATATTGTTAATTTTATTAATATAGTAATCATATACATAAATTACCAGTCTTTTCACCATTTTACATATCTCGCAGAATCTTAAGTCCTCTGATGCTCCTATTAATTTTTGGAAATAAGTTGTCTGTAAAGAAATACATAAGTATTCATAAATATCGAAATATAAAAATCATAAGTACATATTTATGTTACCATTGATTGATTAAACTCCGAATTGTTTATCTTCTGATCCACTTCCTGAACTTTTTTAAAATTTAGTTTATAATAATTCTCTTTATTTTTAATAATTCAAAGACTTTGTAATTTTTTTATTTTTTCGCTTCTTGATCTTTGGCTTTCGCAGAAACAATTAATTTGTAACGACGAAAAATACAACTCTGTAACACAGTGACAGTCATTTGATCGGTCATTTGGCTGTCATTGTTGATCAAAATATAAATTTTAATACATTTTAATCAAAATGTAGTTGTTTCATTCTTTCATATGCAAATTCAACCCTATACCACACATTGGGTCCAGTAACGGTCATTTTACCGGTCATTTGACTGTCATTGTTGATGGAATCATCCATTAAATTTTTTTTTCGACAATTCTATAAAAAAAATGTTGCGTGTGTGTTAGTAAAATCATTTTGTATGTGTTAGTTTCGGTCATTCATTTCTTATAGGGTTCTTATAGGGATGTGATTTTGTCATGAGTAAGATTGACAATTTAGCTTTTTTTGGTTGTTTCATTTAAGCGATTTTTCTGGGTGTTATGTTATGATTCGTATAAGAGTCTTAAAAATTTTAAAGATTTTCCACAAGGGAATATAATGATTGTTAAGGATCTTTTTGGTTTTGGAAGTGTAGAACATTCAAAGACCTTCTGATCTAAATTTGGCACTTATTATAAGAACTAGAAGAGTTATGGTGTATTGTTAGTCTGTTTTGAAACAGTAGGAAATATAAAGGATCTTCTCTCCATGTTAGACATATTGAATAGCAGAATGATGGGATCAGTCCATAAGCAGTTGAAGGAGCTTGGTAGGGTTGACAAGGAATAGAAGAGGTACGGAGTGCTGTTGATATAAAATATCAAAATGGGACACATCCGTTAGCAGAATTCTACTACTACGATTGGGCAGAGGCAGTTGGATAACTTTCATAAGGATCAAAATGGTCATTGTTTGATAAGGACAAGAAAATGTGCGAAGTACTTTCAATCACATTTTGAAAGAAAGACGTACTAAGAATATGGTTGGTCAATAAGTCAATTATAGGGAACTATGGTCGTTGAGGATGATTTCGACTTTGAAAGTGTAGAATATACTAGGACCTTCTCGTCCAAATTGTACTCCTCTGATAGAAGAATACTACTAGAAACTAAAAGAATTTCGATAGTGGAATATGATTGGTCCCTATGTCAATTACGCAGGCCGACAATTTTTTAAACCAGAGACCAAAATATAAAGGATTAAGCTGTGCTGAATCTGAAACTGGCCTTAGATGACATACAACATTTTGTACATAAAGCTGCCTTGGCACTGTTATAACGTCTCGGCTTTAAGAGCGGCTCAATCCTTTTTAAATTCGGTCTCAGGGTTTCGACTTTTTTTCAAATTTTGTCTACTTAAGATATACAAAATGTTGTTAAAATATTTTGAAAAAGTAAAGGAGTTCGGGGACATTTTGGTCCAGGTTAGACCATAATGTATACCAGAATACTAGGATTAAACATAGGCAATGGAAAACTCTTTGTACGTGAAAATTAACTTTAATTAATAAGGACTAAAAGAGTCGATCGGTTTTGTTTTTTTAGTACCAGTTCGATATATCGTATACCAGAATAATGATACGGATTAGACTCAGTTACTTTAAGAATCTTGATAGGAGGTGACAGGCTGTTTGACGAGGAATACGAGAAGTGTTCCGAAGCTTTTGATCCAAATTTGATTGCACAATACTTCAACTCGTCTACAGCAACAACAAAAACCGTATGGATTCACCGAATCGCCTAATGTTTGAACTGTCGTTGTCCTGGTGAATAGACTAAGACTTTGAACCATCAAACTTTTTTGTGGGCTTGAAGTCACGAAGCTCCGCCAATAAGTCACAACTAACTGATGCTCTTGAAGTAAAGAGAACCTAGACCAGCATTAAATGAATACCCTTTATTGTGTATGGCTTCAAAATGAGCATAACCATTTCCCGGGTATGTCATGTTTGTGGCTCCCCCCTCTTGATATATCCTGCGTTCTGAGAAAAACCTATTCACAGAACATTAACACAGACGTTAATTTTGCCCCGTACTGGATATTGGGAAGGTTCCTTACGAAGATTAGAATTGACTTAGAATTAGGTCGATGTCTATAACATTCAACCGGCCGATGCTCCTAAAGAGATCATAAACTAGTCATTATTTTCGGAACTAGTTAGTCGCAATAGTGTGGATGGATTCAAAATGAGCATAACCATTTCCCGGGTATGACATGTTTGTGTCTCCCTACCTGTTGGTTTTTCCTGCGTTCTGAGAAACAAACTATTCACAGAACATTAGCACAGAAGTTAATTTTACCCCGTACTGGATATTGGGAAGGTTCCTTACGGAGATTAGAATTGATATAGACTTATGTCGATGTCATCATATCATAACTTAGTCCATTATTTTCGGAAGCGTGGCCAGTATGTTAGTTAAAAGTTTGATAACTATGTTAGTGATAGTGTTTGAACCATTAAACATTTCCATGTTCGGCTCAAACGACCGATTACCAAAGGCCTGATCATTCTGAAATTATTCGGAATTATTATTCGACATGCAGAAATTTATAAAGCCTTCTGCACCTAGGAGCTATTGCATTTATGGTTAAAGATTTTACGGACAGATTGAAACCCCGATTGGAGAAGAGATAATATTGGTTGCAAGATCGTTGTATAGGCTAGTAGTAATCTTCATACTAGTCATAGAGGATATGGCCAAGGATCCTATGGGGATCACATTATGGCTGCCATTTTAACCCAAGTCATACCAAATGCTCAATTGTATTTATCATAAAATATCTACATCTCAACGTTTCATTTATTATCTGTCACATTTTATAGGAAATCTTTTTATAAAAGAGTTTGAACTTGGTTTATCTTTTACAAAAACGAAAGAATTGAAATTTGTATTTACTGTGAATACATAAGACTTATTTAGCTATTGTTTTCTTCAATTGACAACCTTGTTCGGGTGGTGGTGGTGAAATAAATTTCTCTTTCACCACTTACATACATACCACATATATGAGAGCAATTTGTGTTCTACTATTTGTGCATTCGTTCTCATTACTCGTATTTTTGTGTTTTATTTCAGCATGTGTTATCATAAAGTCCATATGGTAGATGTTGTATTTATGTATATACATGTTTTTATATGTATTATTCTACTAGTCAATAAGTATATACATACATACTTAGATGATTATTTATATGTAAATATATTTGTTGAGTTTTGTTATTGTTTGGGTCTTTTACTCGTCATTTGACAGACTTTGTGCACATGAATAATGTCGTTGCATTTTGTGTTGCATCAATAAGTTTATTATTATTATAATCACCGACTGCTGAAAAGTAAAGGCAGCGAATAATTTGCTTATTACTCGTTTATTAACACAAAAAGGGTTGTATTAGGTATGTTTAAACTTTAAAGTGAGCATTATAAATAATTACACTTTGTTGGGGACTATTTCAAAGTGAAAAGTACTTAAGTATTCTGAATTAACATTAGTACGGTTGGGAAAGTAATGGTTCAAGATTTATTAGACTTTTTAAGCGTTGAATGTCTTTATTATTAAAACAGCCTACTTTGGGGTCATGGATATGTCGATGGTAACCAATTGGTAGAACCGTTTCAATAAAAAATCCGATTTAAAACCATTTGTAACATTTATGCCCTTATCCTTTGAAGGTGTTTGCCTTTGCAGATGTTTAACTGCAAGAATCGAACATTTTCAAGTACAATAATTGTAGTTGAGGGGAATTATTTTCGGTATAAAGCAGTAGTTCTGTACTTAGCAAACTTGTGACCTTTTCAAAATGGGACCTTCAATTGTCAAATATATCATCGGTGATATTTTTTCAATATTTAGAAAATATCTTCTGAAACTTCCAGACTCTAATTCTTGAGTCTAGTTTGGCCAACCAAATACATACTTTAAAAAGAGTAGTGCGATGTGCAGTATATTGGATTAGTCGGAAAGATGTGCTTTACGTCAACAGCTGCCTTTAAGGTCGAATTTTAATGTGGTCTATTCCATCC